TGGCAGACACAGAGGGTTATAAATTAAAAGTGTTTCATGCGATGGAAGTAAACACTTGGAAACTTACACAAAGTAAAGCCTGGTATAATTTTACATATTTTTTATTACCTTAATGTCTCTTTCAGAATTCAGATGCAATTTGGCACAAAGGCCAAAGCATTCAATAATTGCTGGATTTTCGCCTAGGCATGCCATGGCACAGGTGGGCAGGTATATCACCTATGAGCTGGAAAAATGTTAGTTATTGCATGATCTGCATTCTGCAGCATAAGTTTTCAACATATACACTTTCATCTGTAAGTTCAGGGAGCCCATGGCGCTGCTGCTGTGAGCCAGGGTATATTGAGTGGCTGTGAGCTGCTGATCCATCTTTTACACTGAGCGGGTAAAAGAACACACACCTATATGAGCGGTGGTCAATATGTATAAAAAAATATAAATGAATAAGCAAATAGAAATATAGGTAGATTGTGAACAAAATAACAATTTTGATTAGGCAAAAAGCACCATGAATCAAGTGCTTAAGCACTTCTGTGCCAATTGCATGCTCATCTTGTTCTTATTTCCTGTCGCCATGCCGTCCTCTGGTCTGTAGTTGTGTACAGCGACACTAGATTTGGCTAACATTAACCAGGTTGTTTAACTAATAAGTTTCAATATATTCCTTGCACAAACACCTAGAAACTGGAAATTTACCTATAGCTCCCCCCAAAAATGCAATCAAACCGTTCCAAACCAAACTTCGACATTGACGACGCAGCCACAACAGCCAAACATACCTGAAATGTTGTCAGTACCGATGACAAAGTCAAATTTTGAGATAACATGACCGCTGTTCAATGGTTTGATGAGGAGGGATTCATTAAACTGATCCGAGCCTAAGCTGTTGGCGAATAAAAATAACAGAACGAGCCAGCGACGAAAGCCGCTCCCGCCGCAGGGCGCCGCCATCTTTGTTTACAAAACATGTATCAAGTTTGTTTTAAAATAATTCAGATTCTTCATCTCGTTGCTGTAGCATCACTTTTCGTCAGATACAAAGTTTATCAATTAAACTTTTTCTGATTTTTTTTTGTTAATAATCAGCATTTTTACGATCCATGGAAATTACGATAGTTTTATGCTAGATAAGTCCGCGACAAGCCAAGGAGGTGGAACGTGACCGTGAGGTCCAGTCCAATGCTTGATGAAATCATGAAATTCTACGCACTGAAACTAGGCTAGGATTTGAAACTGATTCACTGGAAAAACTGACGAAGAAATGCTTCAAATTGGTTGAAATCGGATGGGCTGCCTTTATGAATCGGTGCCTTCCGGTGCCCTCCGTGATCAATATGTAAATATCTTTCAAGCCATTTTGAAGAATGTATTTCAGACTTGTGTCATTTTTAAATAACAAAAAAGGAATTTAACAAAAAATTGTTGCTTACCACATTTCTCTGTAAAAGAACTTGAAAAAGTATACATGATTTGGCATTAAAGGGACCCTCCCACCTTCAAAAAAGTTTATGAATTGGCATGAAAGTGATGTCGCTCGGTTCAGAAAGAGCGAAAACGAATATCTACCAAATTTCACCGAAAAATATTCACCGGTTTTCAAGATATTAGACTTTTACTTTTGTTTACTTTTTTGGGATCTCCGCTGTTTCTAGCGACTTTATTTTAGAAGTGCGGCGTTTGCGGCAGATGTTGCGCGCAAATAGCATATACCACCGCGTGCTACAAAACGTTTTAGTCAAACATTTAAAAATCGTTAGATATCTGCGCTGACGTCACACATTCAGAGGGGTATTCCTAAGCATTAGCCCCTCTGAATCAAAATGGTGCAATTTTGAAATTCAATATTTCCGACTTAAGGCATTTCTCGATGTTGTGAGTGCCGAAACCGGTAATTGTGAGCCAGGGACCCCATTTTGGCTATCTCAACTCAAATCTAATGTTAAGGTGGGAGGGTCCCTTTAACCGAAACAGCTAACTATTTAGCAGCGGAAATCTACCTCCACTTTTGTCATATATGCGCCACTCACGCTTACATTTGTTTGTATTTTGTAAACGGGAGATGATTGTGGTGTAGAAAGATCAAAAGAAATGAAAATTGAAATGGGCGTGATCAAGGCTATATAAACCAGGTAGAACGCTCCGGGAAAAAAGTTGGAAACAATAAATTAGTTGCGGCATTCCCTGATGACGCGAATGTGGGTCAGCGGCCGGCGGCCGGCCGCCGCTAACACTGTACGAGGAGGGATGCGCGGAACTTTTGCTTGTTGGTGATTGCGCTAGGCAGTTAAATGGTAATGTTAGGATATGTTTCGAAAGTAAATTGAACGACGCTTCGAACGCCGTCAATGAATTTGCGATACGACTATTTGTTTAGTTAGAGCCGGCGAACTTTTACCTTCCGACCGCGCGCGGAGGCGATATGGTGCCACACTGGCGGTTTTTACGATAGCTCAAAATTCTTTTGAGATAAAGAGATGGAATTTGACATGTCCTATCTTTTGATCAAGCTGGATCTTATGGTACAAGTCGCATATTTAAGGTAGGTCAGGTTATTGACCTATGTTGTCGCTCGTGAGCCTCTGCACGGTCCAAAAACAACGCAATTTCTGAACACTCAGTGCCAAGAAATCCTTCACAGAAAGATGACACTTGGCAGAAAGAAGAGTTGTCGGTTTCTTACCGTTCGTATGTGTCGTGTTTTCACAAGAGTTTAGTAAGGTCAGGTCCGTCACGTGACCTCCCCTCATAACTCAATAGGTTTACTATCATAGGTAGAAGCGTTTATCAATCGCCGGAAATCTTAGCCAATCCCACTGGACACTGGATCCATACCCACATGGCGCCCTCCTGACTGGCCACTCCCTCTGAAATCCACAATAACATTGGGCTGCGGCCACGGTTATGTATTAATGCTTTTCACTAACAGAAATACAACTGCAACCAGCACAGTGCACGCCGCCACAACAGTCCGACCAACGTCCCTGATATAGACTAGCTCCCGGCCGGATGCACATACGCGGAGCCAATCAGTCCGAATGTGACCTGCAGCTTACAATTGCTGTGTCGCATGGCGCATGGCACAGGACGATTCCTAGCAGCTGTCGGCTGGAGTGGAGAAACAGCACGTTGCGACACACCGCGCCGGCGACAGAGCTCAGCAGGGCTGGTTGGAGGCTGGAGCCGGAGGTAAGGGCGGACACAGGCACAGACATTGCAGGACAAATAACAGGATGTCAGTTAGGGATATAATTCAAGACGAATGATTCAAGGCGGACTGAAATAATACACATTTTGCTCACTTGGATACCAGCTTCAAGCTTGACGTTTATATGTATAGCACCATGGAAACAATGGGCACACAGGAAAGAAACAAAAGATGAGGTTTTTTTTAACTCAAGGAAGTAAAACAGCCCGAAGTGCAGACAAGCACATACTTTTGGTAATAGCTATCAGCTGTCCTACTCCTCTTCTCCCTTCATCAACTACTGGACACATTTGAAGCATCATATATAGCACCAATGTCCATAACCAAAGCTTGCAAGTAGTTTTAACTTCTATGAAGCCAAGGGAAATGTGCCTACATTATGCATGTAAACTCAAAATTACACATGCATGACAAAGGAAGCTTATGTAAAGAGAATAGTTGACAAAAGCATCTCATGGTTAAAATTATTCAAAACTGCACACAGGGCAAACATAAAAAGCAGCAAGTGTACTGTTCTGTTATGCTAAGAAATAGTCCAAAATAAAATACAATCTTTTCATGTTTAAACTGGTTGTTCTTCTATGCCCCTTCATCCATATCTTGATTACAGATGGGCTGTTACTGTAGGCTGATGAAGTGACACTTGATTGCCTTTGTGCGAGTTTCAGTTGCAGCCTCCTTGGTACTGCACTGGAAAGCAGATTGAATTGAATGCCTCTGAAATATAGGAATACAGGCAAAGTTAGCTGTAGTAGTGTCAATGATAATAGACATGACATTTTTGTCCTTTGACATACATTTGTTGAAGTACAAAAAGGTACAAAATAAATTGGTTTGTTTCAAGACACGCACACTGCACAAAGCCGCACAGACATTACACAGGCATATGAAATTGATACACATAAAAATTGATGATTAAAAAGGTCAAAACTTGCAATAATAATTGAAGTAAAAGTTACAATCACAATCATTTGATTAAAATGACTTGATATAAGTCACAAGACGCAACGCTCCTATTCTTTTATGCTTTCATTATCCTCCACATATCAACCAGCTTGATACCAGGCTGTGCAATAGTGTGTACATAACCCCATGTTGCCATTTTATTAGAGCAAGTGGGGTTACAACAACAATGCTAATGTCAAACCCACATCTGCAACCCGTACTGCAGTTTCAATCACCTTACAAGCACACCTTCTGGCAGTTTGATAGGCAGAATGGTCATTACTACTTTCCCCTCATATTCAACACATATTCCCTTTATACAGATACAGTTTAGACCTGGTTATGGCAAGCACTTTCGAGAAAATATATGATTTAAGTCCAAGACAAAGTTCGAGAGAAACAACACCAACATAAAACACCGACTATGTAGCTTTAATACTGTCAAATTCATAAAAATATATACATGAGTCGATCAGAAATTCACTGTAGATTTCGAAAATGGTGTCAAATGCCACTCAAATACCCCCATTCGCATGTACGAAGCAATAAAACACTGACCTTCAATTCCGCGTGCCATTCTCCATAGGCCACTGTGTATCAAATAACGCGTTCACTGATAGCAAAAAAAAGAGACCCACATATGACGCGTTTGCTACCAGCCAATCAGCGCTCGAGTTACCGAGCGCTGATTGGTGGAGAGGGCCGTCGTCAGCAGCTAATTACACGTTGTTTTCCTTGAACATGTGCGTGAGCGCTGATGCTGCTCACGGGCTGTTGCCATTTTTCGTAATGCTGAAGGCACGGGAGCGAACCCCCCTGGGCGTGATTATGATTAGGGGTGAGTAAAATCATAACATAGTTATTTTCAATTCTAAGGTCATGGAAATCGATGCAGTGTTCACGCTTTCGACAATGAAACGTAGCCTGCCGTGTGGTGTCGTTTCAATTTCAATTTGACTACGTTTCCATGGCAATGTTATAAGTGAATCCTATTTTGAAAAATACATTTTCTTGATCATATCATCTGGACATAATTCAAAACTTAAAGTATTGGATAATGTGGTAGGTGGCTTCAACTGTAAATATGTTTATATTTTTAATTATTGCACAAGATGAACAGCAGGTATCTGATAAAACTCCCGTGAAATTTTGTTAAATCAATTTAGCCGTGTCATGGAAACATAGTGATTGTCCTATGCCCATCCAAGGCTATATAACCTGTTTCATCCCATGATGAAGGGGATCAAGATGGTAAGCAGCATGAAATGATGGCTTCCGTAGTGACTGCTACAGCCGATAATTGATGTTTTTTTAAATGCTGTTCCAGTTCTTTGTTTTTGATAAAAGGTGAGGCTCTTATTTATGAGTTTCATATAGGACACCGGTGAAAACAGGGCGCCGGAGGGCATATTAGTCACATGACATTTGGAGCTTCTCCCCCTCCGTGCGGCCTTCTACATGCAAAACATCACGTGTGAATTTCACGAACCTTGATCAAATCGCCCCAGGCGCCCTGTTTTCACCGTCGTCCTTCATATAGCCTATGTCACCTATCAGTTAATTTATACCTGTGCCATTAATTCATCACTACTCACTGGGGTTTGTCTTCCCAAATCCCATGGTCTTGACTCTTTCTCACCTGGTTCTCTCACCTGGTAGCAGGTAGGGTCAGGGTTCTCCTTGCCTAGCAGCCACTCACTACTCACTGGTGACTGGGGTTTGTCTTCCCAAATCCCATGGTCTTGACTCTTTCTCACCTGGTTCTCTCAGCTGGTTGGGTTCTCCTTGCCTAGCAGCCATTAGGATATGGTAACAGACATGATGGGAACCCATGATCAAAGGACAGGCCAGTTCACCAACAAACATTGCCTGTTATCTGTCACCATGGTTTAAGTGGATTTGAGAGTGAAATTCACATCTTAAAAGTTAAAGGTTTATCATTGACATTCGTTTTAAACATAGCCCAAACTAGTTCAAACATAACCTAAAAAATCAACTTAATCTTAACAAACATAACCTAACCTAGCATTATTCAACCTAATTTAGGATGTTTGCCTGTCACAAAAATTATGAAATCTATAAATACGTCCCTTATAAGCTTCCTTGTGATATTGCATTTACAAATAGAGACCAAAAACAGTGACAAACAACAGTACTGTTGACAACAAACCAGGCAGCCTTCAAGTGGGATTATGGCAAGATAGGGATTCGTTAGCTTGGGCTTGAGATCGTCGGTTAGATTAACCAGGTACCTATGACACATTCATAGGCGGGGAGGGCACCGTGTCCGCTTTGATTTTGGCATTTTAACATTAGCCCTATGGGCTTTGCATGGAAAGAATGGGACCAAAAGTCGGCAGTGCCCCCCCCCCCCCCCCTAATTGAAGGTGTTCAGCTACTACTGGACACATTTTTCTAGCTAAACAGAAATTTCATTATAGAATGATATGTCTATATTATCTATATTTCTATTATGATCCCGTAGCCGGTCCCGTAGCTCAGTTGGTAGAGCGTTGGACTCCGCGTGGTGAGAGCACGCGTTCCCGGTTATAACAGTCCGGGTTCGAAGCGCGACGGGCGCTCGACATTTATGGGCCTCCTGACAGGTATGGCTGCGGTTGGTGGCAGGCCGTAGCCAGGCGAAGTCAGTGAGGGGACCGGCTGTGCGCGGCTATGTGCGCACGTTAAACTTTGGACTCTAAATTCTGCCATAGAACCGGAATTGCGCGATCGGAGGGTAGAGGGCAGGGTCACCGCAACAAGCTTCGCTTAGCGGTGGTTCTGTCCTTGTGAATCCTTCCTATCAAAAGGTTCGGACTAAATTAATTTAAAAAAAATTACAGAATGATGTGTATATTATCTAAACCACAGTGTATATAAATAATCTATACTACTTTTTGATATTTCAAGCAAGTTATGACTTCTGATGAAATCTAAATTTGATTTTATTGTGATTTTGCAACAAGTCTTGCTGACTCAATGCATCTTAAGGGATGAAATAATTTTGAATACTGACCACAAGTTTAAAAAGGTAGATACCTAACCTTACTGAAATAAATTGCAGTTGGTCCTGAATCCTGATTCTGTCAGTTATTTTGACTCAGAACAAATCCATAATAAATAAACAATAAACATTCATAATCATATTTCCACGAACTATGTCGTGCTTACGCAGCACACACCAGAATGGATGTCCGAGCCGCCGCGGGTGCGCTAACTCCCCGCGGAGGAAATGGTCGTCGATCTTATCTCCGATCGCCCGATGACTCACGGTCTCTACAGGCGCTGAATTGTGCGAGGAAACTGGCAGTTATCCTCCTGAGTCAGTGCTCATAGCGATGGAGCTGATTTTTATTTTGCAGGTCATTCAGGCAGTAGGTAGATATGGCGAGGTAAACACCTTCAGGTGTTTTTTTCGGGATGCTTTTTCCAGGAGGTAGGTACCGCGGCCGTGTTGGTAGAAATCTTGAATTAATTTTTTTGTTTTTATTTTTGCAGATCATGTAGACCAGTAGATACAGCGGCTGTGAAGTGGAAGACTTTGGTGACCGACGCAGCATCACAAGGGGCCATGTCGGCAGACCAGTTCAAAGGCCTGCTGAAACTCTCAGAGTCCAGTCGACTGGCGCTAGTGAAGAAAAGTAGAATACATGACGCCTATGATGTAGAACATTCGCCCTTTGCACGGTGAGTTATGAACGAAGTGAGGATCAGAGGGGAGTATTCAATGCACTTAATTGTGTTATTCAAACACGCATAATATGCTGTTCGTGTTGCATGTGTGCGAGCCATTCATATGGATCCAAGTTCTATTTTCCTGGCTGATTTCCTGCTTACAATGTTTGGCAATTTTCCTTATGCCATTTCAGATACGGTAAATAAAACGTAATCCAAGCACTACATAGTTTCTCATTGATTCGTAAAGACTTCTATTATGATTCGAAAGACTCCATTTAAACTATCCATCTGGCGGAATACCAGAGCCTTCGATCACCGGTGTCCTGTCACTTTGATGTCCTGATGGGCGCAAAATGACCTTAGTAGTCGACGGCTGAGTTATTTACTCCCGAATTACTCGCGAATTTACTCCCGCAGGGGTAAATTCGCGGCCGTACGCCGCTCCACACACCGCGTCTCGGGCGTGGCGTTCGCGGCCAAATTCGTCCGCCGGCGGCGCCGAGCCTCGGAGGTGCTCCATGAGATACTACACGAGGTGGCCATCCTGGAGCTGGCCCGCGCCGCCTCCGGCCAGCCGGGCAGTGAGCGCATCGTCCGGCTGCACGAGGTGTTCGAGACGCCCACCGAGACGGCGATGGTACTCGAAATGTGAGTGAAATGGAATGGTGGCGGAATGGTGGACGTGGTGGGTAATTAACACTGGAGAGAATATTGGGGAAAGGAGCGAAAGGAGCTTACCAATCCATATTTGCAGACTTGTTGAAATGGACGCATGTAAATTTAAGAACCATACATCCAAGTAAAACTTAGCACCGATCGGATAGAGTTAGCCTCGGCTTCGTTTGAGCCCACGTTTTACGACGAATGGCGACATACCAGACCGTCGTGCTGTTTACCTGTGTGTTTAGAGGAAATGTGCGGTACAATATCTTATGTCACATATTTTTCCTTGTGAACTGTTGATACATCGCGTCATTTAGGTTACGAGGACGTTGCATGTTTGGTTCCGCATTACGCTATCTGTTCACATAAGCTATCATCTGGATATCTGCGCGGACGTATTGGACGGATGCTCATTAACATTAGCAGCAGCTTCGATCACAGTCGTGCTTTGTCAAGTTGCCTGTCTCATTCCACCCGACGCACGAGTCCGCCGTTTGTTGACACCCGCTGGCCTTCCCTCCCCATCCCGCGTCTACTCAGGGTTCCGGGCGGGGAGTTGCAGCGTCTCATTGACGCCGGCGAGACCATCTCTGAGCCAGAGGTGCGTCGGATGCTACGGCAGGTGCTGGAGGCTGTCTCCTTCCTACACGACAGAAACATCGCCCACCTCGACCTGAAGGTTGGTGGTGCCGGGCGGGACTGACGGGACGGAGGGTGGGAAGAGAGAGGGAGAGAATATGGAAGGAGCATGGCATGCGTGCGGAATGTTGCCGTGTGATCAGTCATCGGTTTACACTGGAAGGTACTTGTCACGCCATCGTCGGTAAATAGTTGCGAAAACCGTATGCCATCAATTTACTGATGCTATTTTTGACTTGCTTCAGATGATGGTGCGTCTAAAACGCGATACATAATCTCTCATGACGCACTCTCGCTTCCTCGACCAGCTATTCTTACTGACCCCACACTGACATCCCGTCTGCCCCCCCCCCCCCTGCGTCGGCAGCCTCAGAACATCCTTCTGACGGGCCCGTTCCCGGGCTGCGACGTCAAACTATGTGACTTTGGCATCTCGCGACTGATCGAGCCTGGTGTGGAGGTCCGTGAGGTGCTCGGTACGCCCGACTACGTGGCTCCGGAGGTGCTGCAGTATGAGCCCATCAGCCTGAGGACCGACATGTGGTGAGTAGAGGGGAAGGAGGAGGGCAGAGGAGCGGAGCAGAGCGAAGGGAGTGAGTGAAAAAGGGACGGACGGAGGGATGATCTAATGGAAAGGTACCTAGGTAGGGAGGGAGGCCTAGTGGATAAGTTTGGAAAGGCGCAGAAAGATTGGTTGCGCCTTGGCGCCTTCTACCCGCGCTCACTTTGTATAATTCCCTAAAGCCCCTTCTCTGCCGCACGTCTGTTCCCTGACGCTGGCCGCTCCCAGTCCGGTACTCTTCCCATCTCTGACGCTGACCCACTCCCCCGCCGTCCAGGTCGGTGGGAGTGCTGGCGTACGTCCTTCTCTCCGGCCACTCGCCGTTCGGCGGTGACACCAAGCAGGAGACGTTCTGTAACATCTCGCAGGGCCAGCTGGACTTTCCCGAGGAGCTGTTTGGTGACGTCTCCCAGCCGGCGCTGGACTTCATCTCGGCACTGCTGATCGTCGAGGCTAGGTGAGTGCGGCGCTCGGGGCGAAAACGATGTGGGCTTTAATTAACCCGCGCGGGGCTGGGGGGAGGTAAATTTTACCCACCCTCGCGAATTTTTGCAATAATTCAAAAACGGCGGCGCGCAGCGCCGCCAAACTTTCAGTACCTTTTCTTACATCAATTGGACACGTTCCCTGAAAATTTGAGCAAAATCCGTCGGGAAATTTTTGAGAAATTGACGTTTTAGTGACGTCATGTTCGCCATTTTCGCCTCATAAACGGCAAAATTTCAAACGCCGCTAACATCTTCATTTTTAAAGGAATCAAGACGTAACAAAAAAGGTTATACGTAATTCTATTTTGTCTATCAAATGGCTATCTCGGTTTTTTGAAAATTTTGGATTTTGACCACAATTTAAAAAAAAAACTGACTTTTTTGGGAAAATAATTTTAAAATCCAAAATTTTGAGTGTATCGAAAAAACGGAATATATGTCAGAGATGTGGTCTATGTGCACCTACATACCAATTTTTAGAAGAATCGGTTTTAAAAATGTGGTAGTTATTAAAAATTTCATGACGTCACGACACACAAAAATTTTGAAAAATGAATTTTTTGGAAGTTCTAGACCTCGTACGGAAACAAAAATAGCACCATTCGATTCGCCGTGAAAAACTGCATCACATAGACACCTTTTTAGGCCTTAACAACCAACTTCAAAATTTGACCTCACTTGACCTGACCTTGACCTGACCTCGACCTGAAATTCATCCAGATGTGGTCCATATCACCTATTGAGTGTGCCTATTGAATTCTATGAATAAAATGACCCATAAAACATGTGTCGCACATGCCCTTTTCTATGTTTTGTTTTTGGTGACCTGACCTGACCTGACCTGACCTTGACCTTGACCTTGACCTCTGAATGATATTGTATGCAGCGAATATTGTCTTGGTAGCCTAAGAACACGTTTTGGGCAATCAGTCTCAGTCCATTCTTCGGCAACTACGGTGCAAGGCCGATACTGTAGAAACTTGCAATTTGTACCCTTGACCTGACCTTGACCTTGACCTCAAGGCTCAAACTTTAAATCAAGTACATGTTTTTAGTTGTTCGTGATGAGATCTTTCGATTGGCGTTTGAATTTTCCAAATCGGACCATTAGTTCGGAAGATAACAGGGGTGGGGGGTAAAATTTACCCACCCCCAGCCCCGCGCGTTCGGCTGGAGACGCCAGCCCCGCGCGGGTTAATATGTTGGAAGCGCTTTGATGGCTTCTTTTTCAATGTATAATACAGACCCATAGATATTTGTTAATGCTGCAAAATACCGCTAAGTAGGTTGATTGAATTGTTCATAGACTGTTGCCGATGACAAGTAAGTTGCACGATCTGGCTATCATATTTAATGGAGCAGCTCATCGTCAGTTTTTTTTTTTTTTTACCGTAAAGGTAGCTGCTATCTTTAAATGCTTTTTGAGTATTGTATCGAATATCGTATGATGGGCTGCGTCCAATAAACACACATTAACAATGGTCTCCTCTGTGCACTGCCGCTCTGGCGCCATATAGCAGCTGCTGACATTTGCTTTTCTGTCGACAGTGAACGTCTCTCGTCCCGAGCGAGCATGCAGCATCCGTGGCTCTCCCCTCCCTCCGGCACTCTGCCCGACGCAGACGTCCAGCAGGTCATCATCAAACGCTCCAGCTGCGAGAAGGACATCAACGGCTTCTCCAACAAGGTGCTGGTGCTGGACAAGAAGATGATGTGCTAGCGTCCTGGACCATAGTGTATCGAGAGGCGAGTCCCATCGCTCTCCCATGAGAGAGTGTGAGGGTGAGAGGGGTGTCGACGTATTGGTCACCCCCGTCTAGTCTGGAGAGTGGTGTCTGCTGCGGAGACGGCAGATGAGGTAGGAAGTGCCCGAGTGCCCCATATGTCGGCGGACAGGGCAGTGTCCGGCGGCCGGGGTCACCATTCTCCCTCGGCGGGGTGGGGAGGAGAGCGATGGCGGCGTCCGAGGGAGGTGGGTCGGGCACTTGATCCGTCTGATACGGACACATAATAGCTAGATCTGACACACTTATCGACCCGTTACCTGTGTCTCTGAACCGTTCCATTCCGTTTCACAAGGTCTGATATTCATCATCATTCAGTGTCGTTTTTTTTTTGCTGTAGCTCACAGCTCTCATCCGTCAGTTGTTCTTTCCATCCCATCCGGTTCCGTGACCCTACCCTCGCCAGTCCCATGACCTCTTCACGTGCCGCGCCCGGCAGCGGCGCCGGAACCGCGGGCGTTCGTCCGCTCCGGGCCGCGGCGGCCGCCCGGCTTGTCCCCGTCCTGGGCCGTCCTAGCTCGGAGTCGCCGTATCGCTTCCCATCTGCCTCTGTCTTGAGTGAGATGGAGAAGCAGCGAAGGCGGAATGCCATGGCTCGGTAAGCTGCAGTCTGGAGCGAGAGACGAGCGTAATATCTGCAGTGTGTTATTTATTTGTCGCGCATGACGCCCGGTCGACAAGTGGGAACAATTAGTCAAGTGGGGTTTCCAGGTCCGGTGACCCAGAGGGGCTTCCTAGCTGTATGAAACGGGAGGGAGGGAGGGGGGCTCAGAGAAGATTCTGTCGCGTTTTATGTTTTTGCCATTCGGTGTACAAATGCTTTGTAGCGTTATTACTTTACTGTATGATCTGACGTCATCAGATCTGTTGACGTCATAGATCTGTCGAGATATAGCGGGAATCAATCAGCGTTTTGGAGCTGGATCGAGCCCAGTGCTGCCTAGTGTCCATTCAGTCCGGCGAGTACGAGTCATAGAGAATATCGGACGGCGGAGGCGAGGGATCGGTTCGCTCCCCTATCGTCCCCGGCCGTGGCGTGCTCTGATCCCCTCGGCAATCCACGGCCCCGCCGCTCGTGTGGGGAGTGTGGGTGCTCCCTGCCACGAGCCGCGAGCGAGTCGCTTTCCGTTCACGGAGAGCGGTGGTTTAACGAGATGGTTTATATTGTACAGACTACTGAGCGATTTGAGATTACCGCGCTCCCCGCCCAATGCTCAGCGGTCAGGGCGCTTATATGCGTGTGTGTTCTGTGCGTGCCGTTAAGAAGTGAATAGGTGGTATGTAACTCCATACCTTGCCGCAGTACGAGTGATTGAGTGAGTGTATCTATTGTATATATGCCAACCTCGGACAGCACGCCGTCAGGGGAAGTTGATGCGATAAACTGCTGCGTGCCTGCGTTGGCCGCTGTGGCCAGGTTCTTGTTGCGCCTTGTCTCGCGTGATTCGCATTCCATGTGAAGAAGTAGGACCAACACACAGCTGTGTATCCAGCCTTGACGCTGTTTTCTACCCTTTTCTAATCAATTGCGGTTAATACATTAGACAGGCTGTATTGATTCTGTTTTGGGCACACCAATGCTTAGCGTCAACTTCAATGAATCGGGGTGGAAAGGACTTGATTGAAATGCGAGCGTGGTACAGTTAGTAGACTATATATGGCCTTGGTTAGTAGTTAGGTTTATTTGAAAAGGTCTTCATTTTAGTCTTGCATCACTAAGAAAGAAAGAAAAAACTTGAGATAAAGTACTACAGCGCCATGTGACACAACAAACACCTCATCCTTGATGAGGGGTTTCGAAATGTTACATTTCCGTGGTAATGGACGTGTCCAATGCATTTAACACCGTGCGCAGGGACTCCATGATAGAAGCCGTAATAGAGCAAGCGCCTGCCATCTATCCCTTCGTATGGCAGGGATACAACACCACCACACCGCTCTTCATAGGCGATTCCAAAATCTTGTCTCAAACAGGAATTCAGCAAGGTGACCCACTGAGTTCTCTGCTGTTTTCCCTGACGGTGGATGCCGCCGCCAGGTCTGCAGACACAGATATCAACATCTGGTACCTCGATGACGGCACGCTGGCGGGATCAGTGCCTGATGTTGTCTCCAGCATCCAACGAGTGAAGGCAGAGCTGAGCAAGGTGGGCCTCACCATAAATCCGACGAAATGTGAAGCCATTCTCCTGGAAGGATCCAGCGAAGAATCCAAGTCCATCGCTCTACGCCACCTCCACAGCGTCCTGCCAGACATCCGAGAAGTGGCCATGAGCGAGTTGGAGCTGCTTGGCGCGCCTGTGCACGACGACCAGGTGCGACGTAAGCTTCTACAAGGTCAGCTTATGGTGGAAAAGCTCATCAGACGGCTGCAGGCCCTGGAGGAGGCACACCAGGCATTCTTCTTGCTGAAGAGCTACGTCTGCCTTCCTCGCGTTCTGTACCTCTTACGAAGCTCCCCGGCCTATCGCCACCCTGCCCTGCTCGTCAAGATCGACGAAACCGTTCGCTGCGGCATGGAGGCAATCACGAACGTCCGACTGCGAGGCGACTCATGGCGGCAGGCGACGCTGCCCGTCAATCTCGGCGGACTTGGTGTGAGGATGGTGACTGACGTGGCCCTTCCTGCCCACATCGCTTCACAAGTGGCCTCCGCTGACACGATCGCAAGTATCTACGGCTCCGCCGCTGCTCGTGTCGGTGAGGCGACGCGATGCCTGGTCGAAGAGTGGGAGGCTCACACTGGTCTGCCGTCGCCAGATGTGTCCAGACAGCGCTATCAGCGTGACTGGGACCGAGCAGCAGCAGAAGCGATCAGTCGGCAGCTGCTGGATGACTGCACGACTGATGTGGACCGGGCGCGGCTCCGAGCTGCCGCACAACCGCACTCCGGCGCCTGGCTGAACGCCTTCCCAGCAGCCAGCGTGGGCACGCTGCTCGACCCAGACACCCTACGAACAGCCGTCGCCTTGCGGGTCGGCGCAGAGGTCTGCGCTCCCCATCGCTGCCGCTGCGGAGCGGACATCGACGAGCGCGGCCTGCACGGCCTCAGCTGCCAGCTGAGCGCCGGCCGATTCCCCCGTCACGCTGAGCTCAACAGCGTGATTAAGCGCGGACTCGCGGCCGCTGGACTGCCATCGGTTCTTGAGCCGGCTGGCTTGGACCGCGGTGATGGACGACGCCCGGATGGCATCACAGCTTTCCCCTACGCAGAAGGGAGGTGCCTCGTCTGGGATGCTACCTGTGTGGACACATTCAGCGCCTCATCAGTCGCCGCGTCAGCAGCCCGGGCAAGCGCAGCCGCGACCGCCGCCGAGGGACGCAAACGCCGGCGGTATGAGGCCATCAGTCGGCGCTATCTGTTCCGCCCGGTCGCCGTGGAAACATCCGGAGCACTGGGCTCGGACAGCTGTTCTTTTTTAAAGGACCTCGGCCGACGCATCGTGCAGGTAACCGGAGACCGGCGGGACATGGAGCGCCTCATTCAGCGGATATCGGTGGCAGTGGTCCGCGGAAACGCCACGGCCATACGATTGGCGGGAGCCCACGACAGACCTGACGTCAGAACTGCTGTCACCAGCTTTGACAGAAGCGGTGGCGACAGCCGTGGAAACAGCCACGACGTGGACCGCTGCAGCAGGAGCAGCTGCGGCGAGAGCAGCGATGAATGCGGCGGCGGCAGCGGCCGAGGAAGCGGCGGCGGTGGAGGTGACAGAAGCACTGGTGAGATCAGCGACGGCTGCGACAACACTGGCGAAGGGAACTGCAGCGTCGGCTGCAGCAAGGATTCAGCGACAGCTTTGCGACCCGGTCCAGTGATGCCAGTCCGTCCATCTGCAGGGAGTCGCAGTGAGGAGCCTAGCAGAAGCCTCTAGATGACCCAGTGAGGAGCCTCTAGATGACCCAGACCTGGCCTACTACCTGCTGCCCCGCCGCGAGTCTCCACCGCTTACGGATGCGGACTCGCCGACGACGCAGCAGCTCGCCGAGCAGCTGTTATGCCTCTCTCCCAGCTTGGCACAGGACACGCCCCGACCGCCGCGCCCCAATGCGCTGACCGCATATGCCGCGCTCCTCGCAAAGATGCGTGAGAGCATCCGCGACCACGGCGCTGCTCCAGAACCGCTGTGAACGGTAGGCGCACAGGTGCAACTCGAAGCACACACTCAGTGCTCTCCGGGGCCCGCGTTTTTTTATCGTGTGTCGTGGAATTGTCATGTGTCATTTGTCCGTCCTTTTTAAGTAATCATTCTTTCTGTAAATGAAAATATAAATATTTCCGTGGTTGTTTGAATATTTCACCGCTTGTCTCGGATGGAGGTGCCGTTATATAGCACGTTTTCTACAACGTGAGATTTGGCTGAAAATGATGCATGAAATATGAAATCGTCTATGCATTTGAGACCCCCAGTAAAGTTTAATTGTTATTTTGGTGTTGTTAAATGCATAAATATTTCCTGCGTTTCACTCCATAGTGATATCCGTAAAATAATTTTGCGAATAACGAAAACTGCTGTTTCGAGCAACGATCGAAGAGTTCCCTAGTCTCCTAGAGCAAATAGTCTTCTTGAAGCCAGATATGGACAGTAAGTATTCAGTATTTTATGCTTACCCTTTTTATCTTGTGAAACAAATCAGTGCATCATTGTTGGAGTAATGCAATCATGACTGTATCGCAATGCTTACAGTTAATCGTTTTCAGCTTGTTAATGACACACATCGATAGCCAACCCAGATTCATGCTTGAAACGGGGGGGGGGGGAGGTCTGGAAGCCAATTTATCAACAAGCTTTGATACTTGCAGAAGTAGGTATGGGTTTAGTGGCGCCAGATGTGTACCAGTTTATCCATACGCATAACGATGATGCGTATGTGTGTATATGCACGATGTGCAGAAATCCAGACTCTGAAGACATGCGGATCCAGAGACCACTTTCTTCGTAGACCCGAGTTCTGGCGTGGAGGAGTCATTCGTCTTTCTCGGAGGCGTTTTGGAGACTGACCACGGTCGGATCTCGGCTCTCCGCAGATGCGATCTACCACTTCATGGACTGCGACGGCAGCAAAGACGGACCGCCGCAGCCCTACCCGGACCTCTCTCAGATAGCCGACTTTTCCACGGCGGCCGAGGCAGCGCCGCAAGACGAGCCCGCCCAGCCGCGCGTGCGAAAATTCTACCCAGGCGTGCTCGATTCCAAGTACATGCAGGCGGTGGTGCGCGGCGGCCGGGAGGGCCTGCTCCAGTTCCGCGAGAACCCGCAGCGCAGCCACCCGGTGCCGTACCCGTGGCCAGAGTGGTTTGATCACGAGACTGGTTCTCCGGCAGGTAAGAAGCGCCACGGCCAGCGCGGCTACCCGGAGGGCTGCACCAGCCAGCGGCCGGCCGCCGTGCCGGGCTGCGGCGGCTCCGTCAGCGGCAGAGGCGGAGGAAACCGGCCCGTGCCGTCCATGTACGACCCGCCTCCGTGCGCGGCCGCCGTCGCCGCCGCCAACGCAGCAGCCTCGGCCGCTGAGGTGCACCACTGCCAGCCGGTGGTGGTGGCCTGTCCGATACCGGCACAGCCGCACCACCAGCAGCAGCACCAGCCGCACCAGCACCAGCCGCAGCAGCCGCCACCGTTCGTGCGCGCCGCCAACACGGAACACTGCATTCCGTGCAGCGCGGCGCCCGAGGTGTGGGCCGACCCCAGCGACCCGCGAGCCGACTGCACCCCGCACCGTCCGCCGCCGCCGCAGCACCACGCGCCGCACCACCAGCGACCGCGGCCACAGCCCGCCAGCACCGACAGGAACTTCGTGCCCTCCTACCTGCACGTAAGTCAGAGTGAATGGTTCAGTACGGCACGCTCGACGTGTGAAGGTTGATATCTTGAACTCCTTAGTCGCACTCTAAATTAAGCCTAGGGAATAAACAGCTTTTGCGATTCTTCTAAAAAAGAGTTCACCTTACCCGCTGTAGCATCAAGGTGTGATGTGCATGAGGCACAATGCCCGTCATGTCGTTAATCAAAACCAACTCCTTCACTCTCAGGAGCCGGAGAACATGGCGAAGATAATCGCTCACGACTACCAGCGTCAGTGGGTGGACGAGCGGGACTCGTGGGAGGAATCGCACGCCACCTCCAACGACAACCAGCGCATGCGCATGCAGAACCGCTGCAGCCACCAGGAGCGCAAGTAGGTACGGCCACTGCTCGAGGTGACGATTCTGACAGAGAGTACCATCGTGGTTCATGGGCTCAGGAACCTGTACGGACCCTAGGGCGTCCACGGGTTCCTGAAGATTGCGGGTTAGCGGACCCCCATTTTTGTTTTCCAATTCTGGGCCAGTCGTGCCTGAAGCGCCTGAGTTTCTGTTCCAGGTTTGTGGAGCACCAAAAATGCGCCCGTGACACGAAGGCGAAGGTGGCCGAGGGTCAGCTTCCGGACTGCCGGAAAAAGTAAGTCTGGACCTCTGGTTTTGTTCTACACAATACACGTTATGATATGAACGATTGAACGAGTAGCTCCCCACAGACATAAAGGTTCGAAATTCAAATTAAAACCAAGTGAAGGAAGCATATTGCATGGTTATTGAGAAATGCAGTTAAAAATGCCGTTCATTTCTATTCCTCATGCATCCAACCACATCACCAAAAATTCAATAACCCTGAAATATTCATGTCAGTAGTCAACCTCTCCCAATGTTTTCTCACCGCTCAGTTCCGACTCGTCCCGCTGTGTCCCTCCAGGTCGACCACGAAGCGGCCGTGGTACCCTCCCGGGAAGGTGTGCGTCGTACGCAGACGCTGCGGCTGCTGACAGGGACACGGCGGTCCACAGCGAGATATCAGCCGACAAATCAGCAGTGACGTTTCTCAGTGAGCCATAGAGTCAGGAGTAAATTCATGTGGCGTCAAGTGCGTAATACATCTGGACCAGAAAACATGCGGAAATAGAATGTAAGAAAACTAACCTAGATGACGGTGCTTGCAACGAGCCTGTGCTCGAACATTATCGTCAGAATTCCACCATAACACCAGCGTCACATCCAATGAAAGCCTGTATTTTGTAACTAACGCACGGCGCCATCATAGAAGTGGTACACGCCTCTCGAATATGGAATACGGACGGCGGTAGCGCAACGCGTCGTGCAATAGACAATCTATGCGCCAAGCCTTTGGAAACCGACGATTTCAACCGTAACAAGCCCCGTTAGCGCGACGCCTCGTCAGCACTAATCTCTATCCATCGCGCTCGATGAGGCTATCCGAAATTTCTAGGACAGGTGCACAGTGCACCTGTGTCTGTTCCTCACAGTCCTGAGTGGTGTCACATTCAGTAGAGAGCTGACCAGCCGAGCGTATTTACACACTAAATGGTTTGGCGGAATATCACAATGCCCTCGCATGCAGTTGACCTAGGGCTACATAAAAATAGAAATGTGGTCATTTAGCAAGTCTACTCTGCGTCCTGCAAAAATATATAGCGTATACAATTCTGAAAAGCATTTGTCTCGACATCGCTTAAAATCAAATCGCATCCACCCTAGTGGTGAACATGCATACAGTGTTGTATAACAATATGTAAAATACTTCTTCGTAAGCCGCAAGCGTATCCCGTACAAAATGGCACTCACTGCGAGACTCACGATAAAACATTCAATCAAGCGATGCAGAATCAAACATACATGATTGCAGGAAGCACGCGAATACATAGAAGAGAGCACCGTCTCTTATGTTGCGTCTCCTGACGCGGCTGCGCTCGTCATCCAGGTAACTGTGCTGAGTATATAATACCAGTCCGACCACACACTTCTGCCTCAGCGAAGTCCAGTAGCCGAAGCAGGTTGAGGGCAAGGATGACGGCATCATGGTTTCGCCATACAGGCGCACGCTTGGTCATTGCGCCGTCTCTGCGAGCCTGTCACTATGTCCTGCCGGCTCCGCAGAAACGATGAGCAAGTGCAAAAATCCGGAGACACCAGTGTAATACAACAGGTCATAATTTGACGCTCAGTGCCAAGGATGTGCCCTGAAGTCATGATTTGATGTACTGTTCAGTCTCTGGAAAACTGCGCCGCTACGTGTCTGAAAACACATAAAGCGTCTGTAGGGTCTACAGATCGTCTAAAAACCTCAGCCGTCTTTGAAAGCCCACCCTGATCTCTGGAAGCCGCGGTTTGTCTCCACAGTCCGCCTGTGCTCTCAGGAGCGACTGTCAGCGGCGGCCGACCGTCGCGGGCTGGTCGGTACGTCGTACAACTCGCTCTCCTCCTGAGACAGAACGCTGATCGCTGGACTCAGCATGGGGCTCGTCGGCACATCGTACGTATCCGAGCCGCCGCAGCTACCGAGCAGAGAGTACGGGGAGAGCGGCGGAGGAGCGCTCTCCTGCTCTCTCTCCGATGGCGGCGGGGCCGACTCCTCCGGGCGACTAGGGGTGGTGATGTTCTCCATGGAGCCCAGCGGCCCGGGTTCCTCCGGAGTTGGGACGGAGACAGCGGACAGGGCGGCGGCCAGGACCGCCGGCGGCGCAGAGTCCGAGCGCAGCCTCTGTAGGTTGTGCGAGCGCGGGGAGTCGTACAGCAGGTCATCGTGCAGCGTCGGCCGGCGACGTACCATCATCGCTGGCTTCGGAGGCACCGGCGGACGCTCGCCACGAGCCTTAGGAGGCGCCGAGCTCGCCGCCGAGAGAACATCGTACACGTCTGTTGGCTCAGTAGCCGGTGATTCAAACGGCGGGACCGTCAATGGTCGGCTCTCCGGAGGCGACGATTCAGAGGGGTTTGGCGTTACGTCGACCAACACTGACGACGGGGTGATGGGGTTAGGTTTCGTCGCGGGGGTCTGGGGATCCGGAGAAGTTGAGGTCTTTGGCAGAAACACTGACATCAGTGGTTTACGCGGCAGATGGGGCGGGATGGAAGGTTTCGGTGAGGTAATCGACGACGAAGTGTTAGGCGCAGCGGCGACTTCCCACGGCGCGGCGGCAGCACTTGCCGCGGTCTGAGGCAGCGCGCTGGGTCTCGGTGGGGTCACACATCTCTCTGTGACCGGCGCTGGAGCCGCGGCGGCCGAGGGCGGAGCGGTGACCGGCAGCGGCGGCGGGGAGGGGGCCGGCGACACCGGCGGGGTGACGGCCAGCAGCTCCTCGATGATGATGATGATTTGGTGTTTTAGGGCGCACCAGCAACGAGGCTATATGGCGCCCATATCTAGCCATTCTTCCTCAAAGTCGGGGGTTAAAAATCACCTGAAGCCCGGAGGCCGTGATGAACGAAAAGAGGCGAAAGGAATCGAGAAAAGGGGAGTCGTCGCGGAGAAGTGTTCTCAAAGAGAGCTGGGGGCCACGCAATCCAAAAAACCGCAATCGCTCAGCGTCCAGTCTCGGGCACTCGACCAAGACGTGTCGGACCGAAAGTCGGTCACCACATCTGGTACAAATAGGCCTGGAGCCAACGCCGATAAGGAACCCATGGGTGCCATAAGTGTGCCCGGTACGAAGCCGGCAGAGGACCACCTCCTCGCGTCGCGATCTGCGTGAGGCCGACAACCAGGAAGCTAAACCTGGCTTGATACGTAAAAGTTTGTTACCGTGGGATTGGCTCCAGGCCTCCTGCCACTTTCCGAGGAGGAAAGAGCCCACCGCCGGTACAAAGTCCCTGGCGGGTAGAGGGAATCGGCGGGAGCACGGATACTGCGCAGCATGGTTCGCAGCTCGGTCCGCCCGTTCGTTGCCGTGAATACCGACGTGGCTAGGGATCCAGCAAAAAGACACCGACGTACCCTCTCGGTCGAGGGCTGTCACACGAAGAAGAATCTCCTGTGAGAGGGGGTCAGAAGGATAGAATTGTGACAAGGACTGGAGACCACTCAATGAGTCAGAAAGAATAACATATGACCGAGCGGGATTAATCTCGATAAAACACAGGAGTTTGAGGATAGCGACCAATTCGCAGGAAAAAACGGATGCATGTTTAGGTAAGGTAAAACACCGCACAGCGTCGCCGCAGACGAAAGCACACCCGGCACCGTCATCAGTCTTTGAGCCGTCAGTATAACAGGCTATGTAGTCAGAGTACCTTGAAATATGTTCCAGCGCACGAGCCTTTAAAACAGCTGGAGGGATGTCGCCTTTTCTCACATCGGTGAGGGAAAGGTCCACCTTTGGCGGGACTTGTCTCCACGGTGGGACAGATGGCCACTCCTTACGCATGATCCCCCGAAGTTTAATTTGAGCTTCCGAGAGCAGCGATTGCATACGAGAGCAGAAAGGGGGGTAGCGGACAGTACGTGCACCTTCTCCGGTTCTGAAAAGCGCCAGGTTGGCACGTGAGAAAACTGCATCATAGGCAGGGTGGGAAGGCAACTGGCGGAGTTTTATGGTATATCTCATGCCCAGTAGCTGGCGACGCAAGGCAAGAGGTGGCTCGTGGGCCTCTACAAGGAGGCTGGCTACTGGGGTGGTCCGGAACGCACCAGTGGCAATACGGAGAGCAGTATGGTGCACAGAGTCCAGAATACGTTTCGAGGTCTCTGTGGCGTTATCGTATATAAAACAGCCGTAGTCAAGTCTAGAACGGACAAGAGCACGATAAAGCAAGAGCAGTGTCTTACGATCCGCCCCATAGCAGGTACGCGCAACACATTTCAAAACATTCATAGCTCGAAAACATCGGTCGCGGAGCTCTTTCAGGTGAGTGCGGTAGGTAAGACGGCTGTCTATTACCATCCCAAGAAACTTCACCTCCGACTTCACAGGGATCACTGCACCCCTTAGCCTGACAGAGAAGTCAGGGCAATTACGGCGAAAACGGCAAAAGTGGACACCTACAGTTTTGGCTGTCGAGAATCGTAGTCCGTTAACAGCACTCCAGTTTTCTAATCTTTTAATTGCCAACTGGAGCTGTCTCTCTACTATACGTGTGGTTGCACCACTGGCCCAGATAGAGAAGTCATCCACAAAAAGGGCACGGCCAATGGAAGGGGGCAGGTGATCGGCAATATCGTTAATCATTACCCCGAACAGCACAACACTTAGGACTCCTCCTTGGGGGACACCGTTGACCTGGGGGAACTGCTCTGAGAGGTTGCCACCGACACGGACTCTGAAAGACCGGTTAGATAAAAAGCTGGCGAGGAAATGGCCCATTGTACCGCGTATACCGTACTTGAAAAGCTTTTGTAAAATACCGAAACGCCAAGTGGTATCATACGCAGCCTCAATGTCGAAAAACAATGCACCAATGTGTCGCTTCCGCCTAAATGCGCAACGAACCTCGGTATCAAGGGCTAAAATGTGGTCTACTGTGCTCCGATACTTTCTGAAACCGCACTGCGAGTTAGATAAAACACCTAATTCCTCCAGAAACCAGACGAGACGCGCGTTTACAACTCGCTCAAGCAGCTTGCCCAGGGCAGATGTCAACGCAATAGGGCGGTAGTGAAGCGGATCAAGCCCGCTTTTACCAGCCTTCAGCACCGGGATAATGATGGCCGTCCGCCATGTTTCGGGATACAGCCCTCTTTCCCAGAGCGCATTGAAAAGATGGAGCAATGCTTCAAGTCCCGGTGACGGGAGACGCCGAAGCATCTCATTGTGTACAAGATCAGGGCCTTCTGCGACACACTTCAGGCCACCTATAGCGGACTTTAACTCTTCCATAGTAAAGGGATCATTGTAGCTAAAATGTTGTGATGTGTTAAAATTGACGCCAGTCGATTCGCACCGAGCACGATGGCGGGCGAAGTCGGGGTCAGAACAGTCACCGACACAGCGGTCATGTAACGCACGGCCTATTTCGTACGCTACATCAGCTGGGTTCGACACATTTCTGCCAAACACACTCAGAACAGGAAGAGGGGATGAGGAGAAACGACCTGATATACGTTTTATACGGGACCAAACCTCGGAGATTGGCGTGAATCTGTTAAGCTGGCTGATGTATTCCACCCAGGATTCGTGTTTAGCTTTCTTGACCGTCCACCTAGCGAACGCTCTGGCTTTTCTAAACGCGATCATGTTTGCGGTGGTGCAGTTATGCCTGAAAGCGCGCAGCGCTCGTTTCCGCGCTCTGATGGCGTCTCGACACGCATCGGACCACCATGGGACCGGCCGGCGAGAAGGCGCCCCCGATGTACGAGGAATGGATGCCTTGGCTGCTTCAATGAGTAAGGAGGTGAAATCGGTTACTGACAGATCATCTGTAGGGTCAGATGAGAGAGCATCCTCCAAGCACGTTTGAAATTTCTCCCAGTCTGCCCTCCGCAGGTTCCATCTCGGTGGCCGGCAGCCAACCGAGGGCCGCTCACGCAGTTCAAGCCATATGGGGAAATGGTCACTACCAAAAGAGTCCGCGTCCACTCGCCACGTAAAAAGCGGCACAAGGTGTGGACTGACAAGGCTGAGATCTAGAACTGATGAATGTCCCGACGGCATGGTGAAATGGGTAGCAGCACCAGTGTTTAAAACACAAAGGCCCTCCTCGTCTATCAAGGACGCTAAAAGTCGACCGCGTGTACACACAGAATCACATCCCCATGCAGAGTGGTGAGAGTTAAAATCACCCAGAAGCATCACAGGTGGAGGGAGCTCGGCGATTAGCCGGCATAGTTCCAGAAGAGGAAGAGCTGCGCCAGGGGGACAGTAAAGTGAGCACACAGTGATGTCACGCTGGCCTAGATGAATGCGGACCGCTACCGCCTAGCAGCTCCTCGGCTGCGGCCGCCGCCACCGTCTCGGCAGCCACGGCCACGTCGACGGGGAGTCCGTTCACCACCGTGTCGCGGTGGGAGGGCAGCTGGTTGGCTTCGGCCGTCAGCGAGACACACTGGAGGAGCGGGGCGGGTGGGAGATGAGCGACAGCCGGACACGGCGAGAGTAGGCGGTCCGTCCCCACACCCAGGTGAATAGTTATAAACCCTACACATCTGCACTCAGTTGCTACTTACGCAAGCATAAATGTGACGTGGTAAACCAACCAATGCATGGTCGCATAACAAGGAGACGCTAAGTATCATTGCGTGTTGTCTGTAGCGCATGGTGTAAAGGAAACTTCTGATACACATGCGCAGCCTCATACCCCCCCCCCCATGAAATAACACATGGGAAAAAAGGAAAGGGACCCCTCAACTTCATCTCACCTGCGGTACGCCCAGCTCGGAGAGGTTTCGGTACTCGTTATCGGCGCTGAAGAACTGGTGCAGGATGCTGAAGCTGGGCCGCTCGTGAGGTTCGTACGCCCAGCACTTCAGCATTACCTCGTATATGCCGCCCGGGCAGTACTCGGGCTTCTGCAGTCGGTGGCCCTTCTCAACCACGTTCACAAAGGCCTGCCGTAAGGAACCCGGGACAAGTTAGACGTTAGCGAGGGGGGGGGGGGTGAGTTTCATCGACGTTCGCTCGTGTGCCAGAAGCTATTGGATGGAATCGACTGAGAAAGATAAAAATGCAACGCTGTCACTGGTCACCCCGGCAACCGACTAAGATTCTCATAAGAAAAACAATATTCACTCCGCCTCATACCCAACGAACATCAACCGGGTCATCGAGTGATTGACGGACGGTATAGGCAACCCCCTACTAGGTAAATAGTACATACCTACATATTTCACAGATCAATTACGGCTAAATTTAGTCAGATCCACCCATGAATCTTAAATAGCCCAGAACAGTCGAGTGGCTCGCACAGAGCTGGTGAATATCTTACATCCACTCCTGGCATGTCTCCGTACGGCTGTTCTCCGTAGGAGAACATCTCCCAGAGCAGCACTCCGAAACTCCAGACGTCGCTGGCGGCCGTAAAGCGACCAAAGTTCATCGCCTCGGGCGCGTACCTGACGGCGGGGATCACCGCACGGTAGATGTAGTCAACGTGACACGCGACTGGCAGCTTGGTGCTCATAGTGTTACATGGTGCAGTCGTTCACATACCGAATTGGAGGATACGAGTACCACATTCTACAGAAATTGCAAACTGTCTATGTTCACTGCACTCTCAATCACAGTACCTATTAACAAAACTTTTAATGTTAGAGTTTCATATTTGTGGTTCATTCGTACGACGTCTTGTCAAGTACATTTCATCTGTTTTTATCTAACAACCCATCTTTTACCACCATTCGACAACATTATATTATCTCACTAACCATTTGACGGGCCACCTGCCGCCCTCGGAGGCCACGTAGTAGTCGCGGTCGCCCAGGGGCCGACTGAAGCCGAAGTCACTGATCTTCACCTGCGAGTGAGACGCCACCAGAATGTTGCGCGCCGCCAGGTCCCGGTGCACCATCCTCTGCTTCTCCAGATACTCCATTCCTGACGGAGCACATCGAAACAAGTTGGAAACCTTGGAATAGGGTACAGGGCTGAGGGCGAACCAATCGATGTGTTCAGCTGTTTGGAACACCAGCTATCCGTGCAAACATGAGAATATGACACAGAAAACGAAACATTATCCATCGCATCTATTATATCTGATAGGTGACCAACAGCTTTATTTTGACGTGATGCACCTCATATTTTACGAGTCAGCAGCATTTATGAGACACGGTTAGTGAGCAAAATAAATAAACATAATACACATACCTATCTCAGAACAAATACATGAATAAATGACAAACATGAAAAACGATCGGGATCCAGTACGCTACGGTAGCTCGCACTTCCTGCCGGACGTGGGATCGGACCGCTGCCGAAGCCGTGCCGAGCGGACCACCGAGCACCCGTCAGTACCCACCTTCTGCCACCTGGCCGGCCCACAGCTTGAAGTCGTCGTCCATCGAGACGTCGTGCGGCTGCTGCTTGAGGTAGTCCAGCAGAGAGCCCAGAGCCACCAGCTCCTGGACCTGCCGCCCGGCCGTCAGTACACGCAGTCATATGCCGAACTTTCCTCGGATCACCACTATCATGATCATTCAATACTTGATCATCAACTCCAGTCTCCAGTTTCGATTCGTCTTCATAAAACGTACGCATTTTTACATTAACAACGACCAGGTTTTAGCTCAAAATCTTTACAGAGATTCTCTGTGCGCTATCGGCTCAAAATTCAAACATAATGCATGGAACCAAAAGCACGCTAGCCACGTACCAGCATCAGCGGCTCATGCTCTAGCATGCCCAGGAATCGGACGATACACCGATGACGGAGGTCCTTCAGACAGGACGCCTCCCTCAGCAGTTCGGTACGGTCCATCCCATGGGATGTCTTGATGGCCACATCCACCTGAGAACGAATCGAGAGGCCGTGGTTAGATATTGGAGGAATTGAGATTCCGTGGTTAGATATTAGAGGAAGTGAGAGGCAGTGGTTAGATATTGGATGAAGTGAGAGGCCGCGGTTCCATATTGGAGTAACTGAGAGGCCGTGCCGTGGTTAGATATTGGAGTAACGGAGAGACCGTGGTCAGATATTTGAGGAATCGAGAGGCCGTGGTTAGATATTGGAGGAAGTGAGAGGCAGTGGTTAGATATTGGAGGAATTGAGATTCCGTGGTTAGATATTAGAGGAATCGAGAGGCCGTGGTTATATATTGGAGGAAGTGAGAGGCAGTGGTTATATATTGGAGGAGGTGAGAGGCAGTGGTTAGATATTGGAGGAAGTGAGAGGCCACGGTTCCATATTGGAGTAACTGAGAGGCCGACGTGGTTGGACCATTGGTGGATGTGGACTTTGTGGAGCCTCTACCGATACCTGGGAGGGGTGTGGGGGACCGTGGTAGCTATACGAGGCTATTCATCGTAACATGGTGCGGTTCAATGACTTGAGGCAATCACTGATAATAGCACACTTTCTACAATACCATTCTTGGATTAATTTAGTGGTGAAAGCTGGGCTTTGTCGTTGTAGTGAGAATGTGCTACACTGGACGGGTTACCGGGTTCATGAATAAACAACTGAGGATGCTACCGATTACATTTCAATTACCTACATCATCAATGGAGGCATTCAAGGTTTTAACCGCGCACCGACGGGGGGGGGGCGGATATCCGCCCCCCTGAGGTTTTTCGCGAATAGCGGGAAAACCGCAGCGCGTAGCGCCGCGAAATTTGGTATGACTATAACCTCATCAATTTTACACATGGTGTGCAAGTTTGAACCTCCTACCTTTTAAGGTCAGGTCACCAGGTCACTTTGAATGACCCAACCTCAAGTCACTTTTTTGCAACTTTGTCACCGTGCCAGAGCTACAGTAGATGTCGGAAGCCTTTGAAAGTCGCAGGATATTATAAGGTCATTAGTAGCTACAATTTGTATATCTCGGAATTTTGATATCGGTGACCTAAGGTCAGGTCAATTTCGCGACCTCCCCATTATAAGTCAATGGGGGAAAAATCAACTCCCTGTTTTTACCACTAAAACGGGTCGGAATGGCCCCATATACCATACATGACTTCATATACGATCAACCTTCACTACCTTGAGGTCTGTTTTGCTGTTGGGCAGCTGTGAGGTCATGTGACGTCATCAAAGGTCACCAAAGGTTTTTGGCCAATAACTCCGTACAGGAACAAGATACAGACGCGTGGATGGTCTCATTGTGTTCAGCTCGTCAAGACGCATCGAATGATATACATGATGACCTCGAGGTCACGTGACCTGAGGTCAACCTTTGACCTTGACCTTTCGAGGTCAACATATATATCATTCGATGCGGATTGACGAGAGGATCACGATGATGCCCTTAGTTTGTTCCTATCTTGACTAATTCGAAAGTTATTCGAGAAAAACTCTCTCCATATCTAGCGCCGCCATTTTGACTTTTTCGACCCCTGTGACGTCATCTTTGACCTGACCTGAAAATGACCTTAGTAAAAATTGTAGATCTTGGCCGTGCGTATCCGATGCCGTTTACTGCTTGTCGCTATCTTGCTTCGTTCTCGAGATCTCAGGGGGGGGGGGCGGTCATCCGCCCCCCCCCCCCCCGTCGGTGCGAAGTTGGCGCAGACCCCCGTCGGTGCGCGGGTTAAGATTACACCTGTTGCTAGTGAAGCGGGTCACATATCGAGTGGCCTTGCTAGTTCACTGCAAACCCTGATAGCTCTGTAGCGACTAGCGAGTGAAACAGCATAGGGTTGAAAACCTCGATGTCAATGATATTGACGCCAGCACAATGATACCGATACTATAATAATAGCTGGTATTTCGCTGGCTTCTGAATTCGACATGATTCAAGGAAATGATTTGCTTCAAAATTCCTTTAAAATTACCTACATACTGAACAGAGTATCAAGATCAAATTTTGGAATAGAATAAGACAGTCCAATAAAATTCATGAAAATCTCACTGACAAGTCGTAATCGCGCACAAAGTCGGCACAGAGGTGTCACCGCCACAGCCAGACTACCCTCCCCTGTCCTGCCATGTCCCTCCCGTCCCTCAGATGTGCCACTCCCGTTTCCCTCCCAGTCAGCGCTTACCAGTCTGCCGCGCATGTCCCTTCCGTCCCTCACGGAGGTCCCCCAACCGTCCCCCACACTGTGAGCGCTCACCTGCCTGCCGCGCGGGTCCCTCCAGCGGCCCTGGTACACCTTGCCGAACTCTCCGTTGCCGATAGAGGCGCCAAACTCGAGGTCATCAGCGGCTATGGTTCCCGGCGAGAGTAGCAGGCGGGGCAGCGGCAGCGGCGGAGGGCCCAGCACCTCCTGTGGGGATACACACAGCGTCACAGCAGGAGCGCACAAGGCCATAAAAAAATAATTCGCAGGTCGCTATACGAATTGCACAAAACATGGAGGTGGCTGCAGCTGCATGGCAAAATGCTGCATTACTGAACTTTCAGCTGACACAGCAATTCAACAAAGTGGATACCTATTCCACCATTACGCACCATCGGCTTCTTTGCAGCGCCTCTTGCCTCTTTGGTCCTCCCTCTAGCCCCAACCCCCGCTGGCAGCCTCTAGTCCCCATCCTGGCTCCCTTATCATATCTTCCTACATTTCCCACATCCTTGCCTGTCTCTCTCCATATCACATCCTCCTACACCCCAAATCCTTCCTTCTCCGCTCCTCCGACACACACCGTCCGTCCCTTATCGCCCCCATCCGTCCGTCCCCTCCCCTCACCCACCCTCCTATTGTCGGTGATAGCGCGGTGGGTATCCCCCCTCCCCCTCGCCTCCCAGTCACCCCCCCCCCCTCCTGCTGCCGGTGATAGCGCGGTGGGTATCCCCCCCCCCCCAGTCACCCACCCTCCTATTGTCGGTGATAGCGCGGTGGGTATCCCCCCCTCACCCACCCTCCGGTTGTCGGTGATAGCGCGGTGGGTGTCCCCTCCCCTCCCTCACCCACCCTCCGGTTGTCGGTGATAGCGCGGTGGGCGTCCTCGGCGCTCGGCGGCAGCGGGTGCAGCAGACGACACTGCAGACCGTCCGCCACCGTACTGTAGTGCTCGACCAGGTGCTCCAACGAGTCCAGGTACGGGCCGTCGTCGATGAAGACGAAACGCAGCTGTGGGAACGATTGGGAGAGGAAAGAGGTTAGAGGAAAAAATCGAAAAAATCTACTGATATTACGAAAGTCATAACTCATAGCTGCTTGATGAAGTGCGACGGTGCTGGCAAGTCGCCATACTACCTGAGGTGATCTTAGGGTCCCAGTCTGCCTAAGATGATCTGACAAATGACTCACACGTCCGAAATACCTGCTTGCTGACAAAGAGAAGCGGGGAATGGATGAAAAACCCGATGACCGAATAGAGGGGAAGATGCACATGATCGCTTCAGCACACTCGACAGCCGTTTATATCAATTTATAAACGAGGACCCATGCGAGCCTCTCCAGCCCCAGCCAACAAGCCAGTCTTTCACACTGCTGCGATATCCGTCCCCGTTCCGTCCCTTCTGCTTACCTCTCCCTCTAAGCGGCACTCCCGGATCTCGAAATGGAACACCTTATCGTCTGATACCATACTGAGCACGGTCGAGTTTTTGCGCGTACTGGTCCTTAGCAGGTAGTCGCCAGTGTTGAAGCCACTGCGAAGGAAAGGTGATGGTCAACTTTCAGTGGTGCGAAGAGCATTGAATAAGTTCATGTGACTTTATGACAGTATAAGGGACCCTCCCACCTTCAAAAAAGTTACTGAATTGGCATAAAAGTGATGTCCCTTGGTTCGGAAAGATCAAAAATGAATATCTACGAAATTTCACCGAAAAATTTGCACTGGTTTTCAAGATATTAGGCTTTTACTTTTGTTTCCTTTTTGGGATCTCCGCTGTTCCTAGCGACTTAATTTGAAAGTGCCGCACTTAATGCGCGCAAAACAGCATATACCGCCGCGTGCTACCAAGCGTTTTAGTAAAACATTTAAAATCGTTAGATCTCCGCTGACGTCACAAATTCTAAGGGGGCATTCCAATGCATTAGCCCTTTAGAATCCGAAAACTGCAAGTTTGAAATTCCATATCACCGAATTAAAGCATTTTTCGATGTTGTGAGTGCCCAAACCGGTATTTGCAGGCCATGGCCACCAATTTGGCTATCTCAACTCAAAACTCATGTTAAGGTGGGATGGTCACTTTAAACCCGTGATGATATTAAAAGCATCGGGTTCCCATTATACATACATATGTCCACAGTCGACCGATCATTTATAAAACATATAAAACAAACTCTGAGTTCCACCCAACCCCACCCCCGGATTCCACTCCACTCCCACTATAACTCACCCAGCGCGGAGCTTCTGCTCGGCCTCGCTGCGGGACATGGCTCCGTGCAGCCACTCTGAGCGCATCCGACGCGGCATCGGCGGCTTGTAGCGAACTTAAACAGCAGCCAAACACGCAACACACGAGAACAGACTGTGAGCCAACAGAACGGTAACGGCGCAATACCAGCGGGAGAACTGAGGAACATCTGAACATGACTTAAAGCGGACCGAATGCAGTTGACGGGGAACCTGCCAAATAAAAATGGCACGGTTCCAATTTAAAGACAAAAATTTATGCAACGAAATACGGGATAAGAGTTGCGTGGCTACCCAGATGCCATGCATAGACTTTATCGATGATTAAGCGAAGAAATATCAAATAAGCAATCAACGGCGTAAACAGAAGCAAACATCGACTTGTTTCGAGCAATGGCTTTGGGAGCATTTAGCAAATTACACATCAATGGTGAAAAAGGAGAATCGCTAGTAAGCATGCATTTCGATATAACGTTGCCGACACAAAACAGTAACACAAAAACCGAAATAAACATGCGGTACAGGATGATCATACGCACACCACCATAGCAGCTGTTAAGCCTCATCAAATTCTCCTCCTTTTCCAGCTCTCTTTGCTCCCTCCCTCTCTCCGCTCTCACTCACCGAGCACCTCCACACAGTCGGTGTGGCCGGTGGCCCTCCCTCCCTCTCTTTGCTCTCTCCCTCCCCCCCTCTCTCTCTCTCTCTCTCCTCTCTCTCTCTCTCTCTCTCTCTCTCTCTCTCTCTCTCTCTCTCTCTCTCTCTCACCGAGCACCTCCACACAGTCGGTGTGGCCGGCGGCGCGCGCCAAGTCCTCGGGTGTCCGGTTGGAGCAGTCGCGCGGCCGGCACGGAGCGTCCAGCGCCAGCAGTGTCTTCAGGGCGTCGATGGCGCCGCTGTTGGCAGCCTCGTGCAGCGGTACCCAGTTCAGCTCGGAGGAGCGCGCCTGCAGAGACGAGCCCGCCTCCACCAGCTGACGCACGCCCTGCGCGTAATTCTCCCGCGCCGCGTACTGCGCGAGGGAAGAGCGGGGAGGTCAGACAGGGAGGAGTGGTAAATCGTACAGGGAATGTGAACATGATCCATAGCAGCCAACTTTGTTCCTATAAAAACACGCACCTAGGCAGGGTCATAAAAGTGACAGTTTGCGAAATAGAATGGAGCATTAAGTCACTGGTATGGCACGGGACATCCTCTCTTCTCCAGCAGCCGTAAAGCATGATCTGGCTCCCCTTTTTCTCCACTGTGAACGGATTATCCTCTCCTCCGCTCCACTCACGTGCAGCGGCAGCAGTCCGTGCGAGTCGCGCACATCTGGCGAGCAGTGGTACTCGAGCAGCAGCGGCAGAATCTCCTCCCGCCTCAGCCGGGCGGCCAGGTGCAGCGCCGTCTGGCCCTGGGCGTCCTTAAACTGGGTGCCCTGGTAGCCGGCCTTCAGCAGCTCAGAGACCACCTTCAGGCTACCTGTGGGGTGGGGGAGATGGGAGGGCTGTGAAGACGTGGGTGGGAAGGAGAGAGACTGGGAGAGAGAGAGAGAGAGAGAGAGAGAGAGAGAGAGAGAGAGAGAGAGAGAGAGAGAGAGAGAGAGAGAGAGAGAGAGAGAGAGAGAGAGAGAGAGAGAGAGAGAGGAGAAGGGAGAGAAATAAGAGACACAGAGCCAGAAAGATAAAAAGAGATTGAGGAACGTACAACGTGAGAAAAAGAGACAGGTAACTAGCGAGAACAAAAAGGTAGCAAGAAAGACACGCACGCAATCATACATGGTTGAACTGATAAGCTATCTATACCGGTAAAGTAGGCACAAAACAATCACTTCACAAAACCGTTTACCTCATGACCCTTGTAGTCGTACATATTACGTTCCAACCTTCCCATATCACCCTAACCCAATGCGACAGTGGCAAACTACGCCAGCCAGCTACCAAAGTACCAGCCGAATACCATCCTCTGCGATGGCACCAACTCCTATGACGGCGGGCGGACACCCACCATCCCTTCTCCAATGCTGACCCCGCCCCCCCCCCCCCGGTCGCGAACACCACCTCCCCTCCCTCCGGACACCCACCCTCCTCGGTGGCTCTGTGCAGCAGGTTGGACGAGGCGCCACGCAGCAGACAACTGGGCGGCGGCGGTCTGCCCAGCAGATGGCCGGCCAGAGGCACCGCCAGGCCATCGTTTGCAGTCCGGTAGTGGTTCACCAGCTCGTCCAGCCCGTGTATGACCGTACCCTTGTCTGAGGGGGGGGGGCGTGACGTCAGAACACGAGAGGGCTGCTGGTAGATGGGTGACGTCAGAACACCGAGACGCCGATCTTTTCACCTTTTAATGTGAACGAATAGCGTGCCTCATGGTAATACTAACCCCATCAATGACTCACGCACGTAATTCATACTCACCAAGCGAGTAGAAGGCGTCGCTGCCATGGTGGCGTATTTGATAATGAATGACGTCACCGCCCACGTACACTGAGAGGCCAAAGTCTCCGTGTGCCGAGGTGCTGTCCCGCACCAGGAAAAAGCCGTCCTCCGGGGAGCCTGCAACATCGGTCCAAAGGAATGTCAAGTGATAAGGATATACATACAAATACACACATGGACATATCACTGCAGCAGAGATTGGGACTACGCAGCCTTCAAACATATTGAAATCTAGCTCGAGTGTTTAAACTGACCGAGCGTTTCGATGTCATAACCCGCGCCTAGCGCAGCCCGTTGCATGTGTGTAAGAGTTGACCTTTTCACCATGGTTCACCTGGCCCAAAGATCGATTTCGGGTGCAAACGACGGAATAATCGCGGCTACTATAAAATGTGAAGACTGCCCCAAAGATCGATACTGAAGTGAGGAAAACATTAAAAAGCTTGGAGCTGACACTGACAAATCAGTCTTCCAGCATGCACTCCAGTATACTCGTATGTGTTCATGATAGTTGGTGACATGAAACATGACATAACAGAACAGTAGTCAGCAAACCTTTCTTAAGCAGAGTTTCAGCATCTGCCCTCGTAATGTTAGGGAAATACCAGTTCACACTTAATTGGTCAGATCTTGACGACTGCATCTCTCTTTCATAATTTTGTAACCCAAGGTCTGTAATTCCGGATACTCTTCACAGAAGCCTGCAGGTCCCCTCTGCAATGAGGAAGAAAGTCAGTTCAGTACAAACATTTAACTTGCATGTGGAATGCAAAACAAATTTTGATGATAACAATAAGCATTCTTGGGTTAAAACAGTTACTAATTTTTAAGGATGGTTGATGCACCCAATATCAGATTTAGATTTAGGTACAGGGCTGTGAGAGACAACAATGTCCAGGATTTATCAGTGCCCACATACTGGCTGAACAGGATTACTTAAGGAATAACTCAGGTTCAGGAATGGCTTTGGAGCAATCAGCGACCTTAAAATATTAAGTCCTAGAAAGTATGCATTCCCTGGCTTAAGCTTGCATGCTTTCATTAGCTACATGTTTATGACCTCAACACATTAGCCATAGCAACCAACTTTTCATTTATCAGCAGCCATGCCTTACCTTTAAATATTACTGCCAGCTTACAAACATTGGCCAGACAAGCTTGACAACTTTGTCTACTGGGGCTTTAGGACGTGTTGACTTCAAAGGTCATATTGCAAGCTTGACAACTTAAGGTTCTAGCAAACATTCTTCCTGCAGTTCATTAAATTGACCTATGACCTATGACCCAACAACATTGAAATACATGGATAGATGAATGATCAAGCCTCTGGTGTTTTGCATGAAGAAGAATGGGCTGGCAGAAAGATCATGCTGATGACATGACTTTCTCAAGAACCTGAATCAACATAAATCACAAAATGATTTTTTCCTTTTTATTCCTGCAGTGGAACACAGTGCTACATCAGAGGTCTGTACTTTGCTTGGCCATACCAAGAAAATGATGAAAACTGCAAGGATTGGTCAATTGGCCAGGGAACTTAGTAGGATGATTAGCATTGGCAGCTTACTCGAACTAAGGTGGGAAAAACACTTCAATTTGGCAGCTGAAATGGGTAACCTTGTGTGATATTGAGGAACACTAATAATTTTACATTCTTGGATGGTCACTAGGCCAGTAAGCAGGTTTTAGATTGAAATGTTTGTCATAACCAGCAGCTGTGGGCCAAACAGCAGTCAGTCTTGAGACACAAGCTTGAGCTGGAGCACAGCAGCTGGATTCAGCCAGCAGGGGCAAGTCTGAAGTTTGCTGATTCCTGTGCTAGAACAGTGCCCTATTTAAGCTCATGGCACTGCCTATGACACCAAGCATCGGTTCTTGGTTTCTAAGGAATCACAAGCAAAACTTGGTACTTCTGCTTACATCTCCAAGGAAATTGAAAACTGAGTACTGATACTTACTTGGTAGTATCATCTAGCAAAATGTGCTGAAACAGGGCCCAGCTGTTACAACTAACAAAACAATGCCAGAGGGTGGAAATTCAGGGAAGGTACCTAAAAGAGCACACATATTTTGAGACCTTAACACGACTCACCTGTTCAACTCACCTGTTTGGGGTTCCCTTGGTCTGAGAGTATCCAAAATGAATGCAGGGATGGGGAGAAGGGAAGGAACCCGCATAGAAAGAGCTCGCCCGATGGATGAGAACACATCCAAACGGGAAAGTGAGCCCACAAGTGCCAAATGAATGAGTTTACAAGAGTGACAAGATACAAACAGCAACATTATAATCGGAACACAGTTAACGGTCATGGGACACAATTCATTTAGATACGCACTAGAGACTAGTATACAAACAGGGTATCACCCAGTGTCGCAGATAACATGGATTTGAACCTGGTTAAATCTGGTTCAGACACTACTTCGTCCGGTAGAGAGTTCCATGGAGTGATACAGCGGACACTAAATGATCTGGCACGTAAATCTGTTTGGGGACGGACGTGTGGCAACTTAAAGCGGTGGCCTCGGGTTCCAGAGGATGGCGAGAGCACGAATATATCCGAAGGTTTGATTGAACATTTATCATGGAAGAGTTTCCAGCATTGCATCATGTCAGCTCGGAGGAGCCTGCCCTTGGCCGAAAATTGGTTCAGGGCCTTAAGTCGAGAGTTGTAATCTAGGTTGCCGAGACCATGGACGCGCTTCGTCCAACGCCGCTGGACTGACTCGAGGAGCCTTAAGTCACCCACGTATCCGGTGTGCCACACGCAAGAACAGTACTCGATCAAAGGCCTTACGTGCGTGCTGAAGAGTGTCATCATAAAGTCCGGGGACCTGCAAACAGTAGAGTTGTGGAACTTTTTAAAAATCTTATTTTAAATTATTGCAGGTCTTAAATTATTAGATTTGTAAGCTACCTATAGTTTTTTAAACATACATTGTTAATTTTTTGGTCCATTCAGGAACGCACACTGCTGTGATTAGGAAATACGCCCCGCGGCCACCTCTCCGGGACGGTCACCTGCCAGAGTATCATTGAATCAGTCATTAAAAAGAAAATCAGTGACCAGCATCCACCACAGTTTGTAAAGTCAAACAGGCTAAAAAAGGGTTTTTGGGACAATTTACAACATACCATACAGTCCTGATCTCCATTTATGAAAAATGAAAAAAATGACTATTTAGTACACAGTGACTACGCACCCATAGATATACCTATTTAGCTATAAATAGATATATACAAACACTATCCACAGTATATAGACATCTTTATTCTATACCCAACCTGAGGCTGACTGTCGATAAGCACTGGGAGCTCGCTGAGACCGGGCCCCACAGGCCAAATTGGCCTCCCACAACCCGTATACCGTAAGGTAAGGTAAGGTAAGCTATACCAATACAGCCTTGACGGGATCCACTCTCATTTTTTGCTTCTAACAAACGCCCCTTTTACGTATAGGGATTGTTGCAAGCTTATAGCTCCACCCGTTATGTTGCAAAAGATGCCAATGGTCTTGCCAATAGCCTACCTATATACAGCCTTGCCAATGGTGCTTTACAATTAAAAAAAAATTATCCCATCTCAATCTAAATATGCAAGGGTCACTGCACTGCCAAGGTCACTGCGTTGAAATGTATATCATAGGGCCTTGGTTGAAATTATCGCGAAATAAATGAGAGCTAGAGCCTCGTCCAAGACTCGTCAAAAAATGCTATGTAAACGTGACTAAGGCAAGGGCTCTCAAATAGGGCTTAATATCATGTTCATAAATTCGTTGTGTTCAGCTGCTTACAGGTGCCTGATCAGCTCAACGCTGCTGTTGGTTCGTAGTTCATAAGAAACTATTGCCTTCACTAACGCTATTTGCCTTGCATTGAACATTTGTGTGCATTTCACTCAAACTTTTCCCCAGTCGTTAATTTGATGACGTCATCAGTCAATTTCATTTTCCAACATTCATTTGCCTTTTTTATCTTGAAAAATGAAAATTTGCGCAACTGTTGAAGTTCAATTAGCTCGTAAAAGAGCAGCATTACGGTGCTCATGAAAAAAGCATAAATAAGATGAAGGCAAAACGTGGTTGCATTTTATCATTCAAACAGATCATTACTTTGATCTTTGCAGCCAAGCTATTATTTCAATGAATAAATACAATATTTAGAAGTTGCTTAAATTGGCAGTTAAGATGAAAAATTGGAAAAAGTTAAGTGCAAAATGAAAAAAAAACAAGGAAAACAAGCAAACAAAATATCTGACGAAATAGGACCAAAACAGTCAAGTAAAGAAATTCATAGACCAAAATGTCTTTGTTGCGTCATATTTGAATAATGAGAATCTGTGCCTGACATAAATGTGCTTGGTGCACTCGGTGTGTCTTTTTGGATTTTATGGATTTAGTGCTTTGTTAAGGTTTTGGAGCTGTTGTACACTTTTGTTAAAAGGTGAATTTATTTTGCATTAGTGTTGGGTCTATATTACCTATTCAGAGAATATAAACACATAAATGTCCTATCCAAGTTTGTGTCAGCTGAAGGGTTGTGTGTTGTTATTATCTCAATCTTGATGCCATCCAGAATGGAAAGATGCATGTTATGCCAAACAGGGCTGCGGAGTTGGGGTTGGAGTCGATCAGAGTCGACAGTTCTGCCCGGAGTTGAAGTTGCCAAAATGTTAGGTACCTACCGACTCCGACTTCGGAGTCAGAGTTAACACTGCATGGCTCAATTTCATGCACTGTACCTGTTTGATTGATGGTACTGCATTTAAAATTAGATTTTGTTGATAAAAGACCATTTTGCTGTTTTGGGTTTACGGTGAATCCCATAGAGCCTGCTTTTTAATTCTGCATATTATTTTTAATGAATAGGTATTTGCAAAGCAAAACATCTCCAAGTCCATTATGAACTTCAATACCATGATATGGATTTTGATAGAACCATCCAGAGTCTGAGTCAGAGTCACCCTCCTAAAATCCATTGACTCTGCAGCCGGCAGCCCTGATGCCAAATATGTCTGACTGGTGTAGTGGTGGGATTGTACCTACCAAAAAGGTTGAAGCATGTCCAGTCTCCAGAGTGACATGCTCAGTCCGGTAGCATAGGTGAAGGGGTAAGGGCCAAAACATTCCATCCTCCATGTGGTGTGCCGAGCGGTCCCATGGCCTTATTTTGGCATGGTAGCAAGGTACTTTAGTATCAGTAAAGCGGGTGTCACTATTGGTGGTGTGCGATGACCGGGGGGGGGGGGGGGTCTCATCCCAAACCCTCTTCCAAGCCGCCTGCAGGGTGAACTTGCTGCTAGATTGACCAGCATGTCAAAAAAATCAGTGACCGCCATTCATCAAAGAATTATGCGGCTGCCTTGTGCCGAAAAATTCAGCGGCGCATATGAAGTAACTCCTGACTGCACTGAAGTTATTGGCGCAATCCCACCACTACAACGGACATATTCGGCATAACGTTATCTGACTAGTGGGTAAGTTGGAGGATGTAGGTTGGTACTAGTAGGCTTTAAGTAGGTATATAGGTTGGTAAATCGTAGGCCATAGGTTAGTAGGTAAGGTCAGGTCAGGCTAGATTATGTTTTTACTCAGACTTCATCTACACATTTGTCGGTTAGCGGGGTTAGCGCCTACGGTGACGCCAGCTTTACCGATATCGGTACTTTTATCGATCCACCCCGCTACCATGGCACCGCTACCATGGCAACCTGATGGTGGGTACCCGCAGCTTGCGAGACACCCCGAGGCCCGAACACGTAGCTCCTCTGATTTTTTGGCTTCGGAACTTTTGGCCCGGGCCCTGTTTCATGGCACGACGTTACTAACAGTGCGCTACGCGCACCGTGGTATTACGTTGCCGTGGAAACATCAACAAATTCAGATGTTCTAACATGGGAGGGCGTCTAAGTTTGTTGATATTTCCATGGAAACCAAATACCACGATATCGGTATTCGGTAGTGCGCTGTTGCGTTGTATCGTAAAACATGACCCCGGAACACTGTCAAATGCTTTGTAAAGCCATGGTTTGTGGGTGTGCACACTGCCCATGTGCTTTTAGATGGCTTAATTTTGGCGCAAATAAGCATCAAACTTTCGGCTCAAATCATATAGAAATTTCCAGCACAAAATCACTGGCACTGAATTTCGGCGCATGAGGGTGTCATGGACGCCCGGCGTAGTGCATGGATGTTTACCAGTCTGAGTTGCAATGAGGATCAATTCTTGTGCCAATTGCCATCGTATTGCTCAATGGCCTACAACTGTCTTTTGTGGCTCCTCTCAACCACAAGTCATCCGTGTCAGGAATTTTGTGTATGAAACGATAAAGCACTCAGACCAGAGCTGTCGCTACTGGGAGCTAAATGCTCCACCTACCACCTAAGTTGCGGGACAGATATAGACATGGAGATATCTATGTCTCCATATCCGTGAAGGCCTGTAAGCCTGCATTCATTGATTGCATTCAAGTAGTGTGCAGTTCATGAGGCATCAGTTTTATTAATAGAAAGCAGCATACTTTTTGGGAAAAACATCATACTTTACAGGTCACTTGAACTGACGACTGTGAAATAGCCAGTTTCTTTCCTCATTGTACTTCATGATTTCCAGCGATGGGTGACAGCGACCGGATGCCCCGGGTGGACTTCGCTAAGCAGGGCCAAAACATTGACAAACGCACCCGTCAGCTAATGCAGGAGGTGGATGCTATGAACCAAGCTCGACTGACCAGGCGAGTGGGCTGTTCTAAGAAAAGGGAGTGGATAAAGTAGAGAAAGGAATCGGTTATGTTGTGTTGCTTATTCGATGTAAGCTTTCATACTTCATCCCTCTAATTCATCTTGTCCCTTTAATCTTGTCTTTGTTCATTGATGAATTGCGATCGTTTGACCTGTATTCGGTTGTTCTCACCGCCGTCATTTTCTCCTCGTCAGGCTGGCGCGTATGCGGCGTAACTCGAAGGTGACTGCGGGTATCATCACTGCCGGCTTGCTGAGCATCTACGCCTACTCGATGTACGCCGTGCGCCAGGAGACCTTCCTGGACGCGTTGGACGAGGAGGTGCGCCAGCAGCAGACCAAGCAGAACTGAAGAGCTGCGTCAGCGCCCGGAAAACGAAGCAGAAGTAAACTGTGAAGTGCGAGAGGTCGAGTCTGTTGGACATTTTGTTAGCTGGTGCAGTGGATGACACGTCGGTTACGTTTTGATGAGTCATACGTGAACCGAGATGAGCTTCTGAAGTCACGTGTGCGCGATTGTTGAACTGTTGAGAGAAGCTGGTGAATGGTTTTGACGTCACAGTGTGAGGACCGGCGGTGAACATTAAATAAAAAGGACTTACTCCCTGTGTTGTCACTGACCTGACCGCGAGTGTATCAACCCTGACCCCACCACCGCCGCTGATTAGTTGATCATCCACCGCCGCCGACCAATCGCCAGTCGGCGTCTCGGCCGTCGTCATGGCCACGCCGCGTCTGCCGCCGCTGCCCTCGATCCGCGACCTGCTGCGTCTGTACCGTCTGCGTGCAGTGCAGCAGCTGTCTCAGAACTTCCTGCTGGACGCTGGCGTGTGTGCCCGGCTGGCACGCGCTGCCGGCCCGCTGCGGGACGCGCACGTGTGTGAGGTCGGGCCCGGACCGGGCAGTGTGACCAGGGCCATCCTGACGCAGCGGCCCGCCGGCGTCACACTCGTGGAGAAGGACACCCGTTTCCTACCGGCGCTGCTGATGCTCAGGGAGGCCGCCCAGCCGTGTCCAGTACGCATCGTGGCAGGAGATGTGCTCCTCTATGATATGGAAGGTGAGTGAAGTCACAGAGCTGGACACTGCAGCGGAGCGCGCCGCTGGTTTTAAGGCCATTTGAGCCGTCTTATTGTAACTCATCAGGCACTAGTTCAGGCGCTGTGTTATTTTACCGTCATTCTTGATGAATCTGCTCCAAGCAGTTACTGTTCGATGTGTAAACGATTTCTCAACTCAGCTGAGGAGTACATATAAACGACTTTCTACAATTCCTATCATTCATGTCCAATAATTGCTAAGTCGCCTCATCTTATCCCATGTAATTGACCGTCGCGTTCTTCCCCCAGCGGCGTTCCCGGTGAGTCCCACGCCGTGGGAGGAGCCGTGCACGTCTGCCTACATCCTGGGTAACCTGCCGTTCAGCATCAGCACGCCGCTGGTGGTGCGCTGGCTGCGGGACGTGTCCAAACGGCAGGGCGCCTGGAAACACGGCCGGGTCCGCATGGCACTCACCTTCCAAAAGGTGCGGAGGGCTGGGGAGGGGAGGAGTCCTGTCGGTTTGATGATGGGTGCGTGGGTAGTGGTGTTTGGATATACGATAGGAGTTGAAAATGAAGGTATAAAGGGGAAGGGAGGGCAATTTCTGGAGGGTGTTGCGAGATAAAAGATAACAATAATTGCGTCGAGGTCTCTCGAGTCTCGAACCAATATTTCCTGGCTAATTTTAATTTTATATATATCCCAATAATATAATAATTATGGTTGCTCTTTGCATGTTTCCCAGATCGTTGTTTGTTTGTTTTGCTTGTTTGTTTGCTTGCTCACAGCCGTATTTTATCATGCACTTATAATGTATAGTTACCTACTCCCACTCACCATGTCTAGCCATGGCACCCCACCCTCACATTACCCCTCCCCCCTCCCCCCCTACAGGAGGTGGCCGAGCGTCTGGCCGCGGAGGCGGGCGGTGAGCAGCGCTGCCGGCTCTCCGTGGTAGCCCAGGCGTTCTGTCAGGTGCAGCACCGGTTCACCCTCGGCGGACACGTCTTCACCCCTCGCCCGGACGTGGACGTTGGCGTGGTGGTGCTGACGCCACTCCGAGAGCCGCGCGTGGACGTGCCGTTCGAGACGCTGGAGAAGGTGGCGAGAGGACTCTTCAACATGAGACAGAAGTCGATTGTGAGTTGGATGGGGGGGGGGGGGTAGGTGGCTGGGATTTCGATGTGAATTTATTGATCAGGGACAATTGAGCCAATAGCTGTGCAAAGTTGGAGCATAATGCCAATTTTTTAATATAATGCTTATGAATTTGGTTGATGGTGAATGTGTTCAGGGTTTTAGTTTATGTGGGCGTTTTGCTGTTTCCCGTGTGTACCTATCACCTGCAAACCACCTGCTTCACCTGCAGTCCGTCTCGTCTTGCTCCATGCTGCACCCGTCCACGTGTCACTGACCTGTGCCCGTCGCGCCTCCCTCAGCTGCGCGGCACCCAGACCCTGTACCCGGAGCTGTGTACAGGGTCACTGACCGGTGCCCGTCGTACCTCCCTCAGCTGCGCGGCACACAGACCCTGTACCCGGAGCTGTGTACAGGGTCACTGACCTGTGCCCTCCGCTCCTCCCTCAGCTGCGCGGCACCCAGACCCTGTACCCGGAGCTGTGTACAGGGTCACTGACCTGTGCCCTCCGCTCCTCCCTCAGCTGCGCGGCACCCAGACCCTGTACCCGGAGCTGTGTACAGGGTCACTGACCTGTGCCCTCCGCTCCTCCCTCAGCTGCGCGGCACCCAGACCCTGTATCCGGAGCTGTGGACTGGGTCACTGACCTGTGCCCTCCGCTCCTCCCTCAGCTGCGCGGCACCCAGACCCTGTATCCGGAGCTGTGGACTGGGTCACTGACCTGTGCCCTCCGCTCCTCCCTCAGCTGCGCGGCGCCCAGACCCTGTATCCGGAGCTGTGGACTGGGTCACTGACCTGTGCCCTCCGCTCCTCCCTCAGCTGCGCGGCACCCAGACCCTGTACCCGGAGCTGTGTACAGGGTCACTGACCTGTGCCCTCCGCTCCTCCCTCAGCTGCGCGGCACCCAGACCCTGTACCCGGAGCTGTGTACAGGGTCACTGACCTGTGCCCTCCGCTCCTCCCTCAGCTGCGCGGCACCCAGACCCTGTATCCGGAGCTGTGGACTGGGTCACTGACCTGTGCCCTCCGCTCCTCCCTCAGCTGCGCGGCACCCAGACCCTGTATCCGGAGCTGTGGACTGGGTCACTGACCTGTGCCCTCCGCTCCTCCCTCAGCTGCGCGGCACCCAGACCCTGTACCCGGAGCTGTGAGCAGGTCACTGACGTGTGCCCTCCGCTCCTCCCTCAGCTGCGCGGCACCCAGACCCTGTACCCGGAGCTGTGTACAGGGTCACTGACCTGTGCCCGTTGTACCTCCCTCAGCTGCGCGGCACCCAGACCCTGTACCCGGAGCCGGTGCGCCGCCAGCTGGCCGCCGACACGCTGCGTCTGGCCGAACTGGATCCGGCCTGCCGGCCCTTCCAGCTGACTGTCGAAGAGGTGGGTCGGCTATGCCGCGCCTACCTGGACATCTGCAGCGTGCACCCCCAGCTGGCCCCGTACGAGTACAGGGTGCACGGCAAACACGGCGGACTCGACCTGGCCCAGGGGGTGTCACTGTAGCGTAGGTGGCGCTGTAGGCTGGCGTCAGCGCTTGGAGGGCTGTGTGCTAGAACCGTCGCTCCGTTTTGGGGAACGACGGTGATGTTTGTGATAGTCGTTTGATAAGATTGAAATGTAATTATGAGATAGATGTGGGTATTTCTGAGCGTATTCTTCAGCACATAATTTTTGAAATACTTTTTGAGCTAGTTTTGGGAAGTTTTTCATTTCTGATCGAAATGCGATTCAGTTCTTTAATGTGGACGTCCAAATTTTTGGATCCCTCAAAACTCACCAAGTCTACGTAATCCGTAATTTTTAACATCAATTTCAATAAAACTGAAGTGTACGCAGCGTACGGACGGGCCGAAGGAGCTTACTATCGTTACAGAGTACTCTGGAGGCTCGGTCCTTGCTCAGTGTGAACCGTTCAGTTCCAGCTGGATGGTCCACCTTAGAGTTACCGCGTGTCGTCTGTATGTAGACTGTCTGAAAAAATACAAGGGCATGTTTAAGGATTGTCTTGATGTGAATGACTTCAAAATATCGTCTGATGAAAACTAATGAAAAACGGCATTGCCTGTGCTTGGTCTCGTACACAAGAGTATTCTGATGCTGGTCTGTTTTACCAGTGAACAGAAGATAATAATTTCTAGCAACTTTATAGTTGGCAGTCTCCCGAATATAGGCTGTACTGCAGTCGCTTCGTCTTGGCATGGAAACAGCGCACAAAGTCCTTCGGTAGCTCTTTCAGTGCACTTGTCAGTAGTTACCTAGGTATGGACATTGGACAGGATATGGGTTCCATTGACCTATAATAAGTAGTACCTAAGTACTTATTATAGGTCAATGGTGGCCGGTGGGTTCCCTTGAGTTTAATTATAGCTAGTGGAAGAGCCAGGGAGTCGCACGATTCGAGGTATGTTTAATGTAGTATATATGTTACAGGCCGTATGAAAACTCAGTCCGTTTGCAAACGGCCTAGCCCGATTCAGGCCGTTTGCAAACGGCCTGGACAGCCCAGTCAGTATGCAAACGGACCGAAAAGTCAGGCCGTTTGAATACGGGCTGACATTCCAGGCTGTATGCAAACCGCCTGAAGTTTCAGGCCGTTTGCAAACCGTCTAGGCCGTATGACAACTTTCCAGACACCAGGCCATTTGCAAACGGTCTAGGCATTTTGAAAACAATCTGGTCTGCATAAAGTTACAGCTGGACAATGTTGATTGAGTTTGTTGAAGCACGACCGTATGACATTACATGGCACCATGAAATCCTGAGGTGCATTCGGCATCCGGAAAAATATTGTCACTCGGATATTCTCCGTCGGAAAATTATTGTTGAGCGCCTATCTTCAGCATGTCTCGTTATCGCGATACCGTTCGTGATCCCCGATGATTCTCGCTAGTTCCGGAAAATTCTCCCTGATTTTCCCGATGACGAATGCAGGTCTGGTCAGGAAGAGATTGGCAGAACTGAGACCCGGCCCGTATAGCACCCGGTCGACCTGGGCTTCCCCCGACTTCAAAGTTTCGCCTTCCACCGCAATGGTCAAGTATTGCCGGCGTACGCCACCGGCCAGACGCCGGCGGTCGACCGGGCGCGGTGAGGACTCTAATGTGAACCAGTGGCGCGGGAACTTCTTCCAGACTGGGGGGGGGGGGGCCGAACCATAATAGAGATCAACCTAGGGTACCCCCAAAGCTAGTTTTCTCACCGGTTTTAGGCCACTTATTTTTCAGACCTTGGCCTTTTCAACAAAAACAAAAACGAAAATATTTGCAAAAAAGTCAGGTATTCCGTCTCAGCTGAGTGAAGAAAGAAACTACCGTTTTGGCAGCCTGGAATAAAGGTTTTAACCCTCGCCCGTATAGGGGGGTTCGAACGGACCCCCCCATGGTTTTTCGCGAATAACTCGCGTAAAAAGCGGCCGATCGCGACGAAACTTTCAGTACCCTCGCGTTAATCAATTTTACACCTACTCTGAAAATTTCATGACCCTGACCCCAATGACCTTTGACCTGTGACTTACTTTTCGAGACCATGTTTGGCCGGAATCGCGATTCGGCGTATGTCGGCTCGCATTAGCCGCGCGTTTGCAGTCTTTTCGTGGTTTCAAGCGTTCAAACATGTGATATGATGTTGCCTCCATGCGTTAGGGTGGGTGTCAAGGTCACCTGAAGGTCAGGTCAGGTCATTGACCTTTGATGACCTCGGTTCACTTTTTCGAGTTTTACATGTTTCTAGGCCAGTTTTTGCAGCTGAATTCGAATTTAGCAACCATTTGAACATTTACGAAGTAGTTTTGGTGCCTTCGTAACATGTTACGAAGCTGTCAGAGGCGGTTGACACCTACTAGGAATACCCGGCAGGACCCCTACTGGTTGACCTGACCTGACCTGACCCGACCTGGATTAAATGCATGAAGACATCATCTGTGATCAAAACTAACATGATATTCGTGATCAGCACCCCGAAAAAAACCCGTAGCAGCCACACTTTACGACGTTCTAACAGGTCCCGATTTTCCCGACTTTTGGGTCATTGACCTGACCTGCAAGGTCAACCAATGACCTAGGACCTTAAAATTAGGTATCATCGGCTTCCTCTCGTCACGGGCAACACGCTCGTTTTTTCCGCGAAGCTCTAGCTTGATCAGGGGCGAAACGGCAAGGGGGGTCCAACGGACCCCCCCCCCCCCCCCTTATACGTTCGCGGCTGGAAAAACACCAATACGGGCGAGGGTTAATCTGCCAAATGAGTTGCCGAGCCAGTGGAAGAGGTGGATTTTTCACTTACATGCTTTCTTCCTTTGTGACCCACAACCCCTAATTTGGGGAGGACAAGCTGCCCCCAACGGTTCCTGACCTCATAAAAAGTTGTGGGGCACCGCCCCCACGGCTCCAGAACTGTGGGAGCAAGCTTCCCCCACTGCCTCCTCCCCCGGTTCCCGCGCCTATGTATGAATCTATGAAATTATGTTGGTAGATTTCCGATTTCGATTCCTCCAGCTGGGGGGGGGGGCTCAAATACATTACGAGCCCCCCCCCCCCCCCAGCCGAAAAGTTGGAGGGGCTCAGCCCCGCTAGCCCCCTCCCCCCCCCCCCCGGTTCCCGCGCAACTGATGTGAACTCTGATGTCCATTGCGTGCTCCGACGTTTTATGCCGCAAAATAATCGGTGAGTCTTGTAGTGATACGTTTCACCAGACCTCACCACACCAGTAGTGGCTTCACCAGGCTCCATCAACTGGATGGCCGTACACAGGCGGACCGTGAACTTGTATAATTAGTAATATTGTCGAAAAAACGGCCGGGCCGAGCATCAACACAGTAAGAAAATGTTCGACGTATGTAGACGAGTCATTCGGCATGGAATGCGCAAGCATTCACATGGATGCAACCTGATCATCGACCAACCTGGATCCATTAAGTCCAGTCTTCAGAGGCTGTTCTACTTCGCCAGACCGTTTGAAAACTGACTAGGCCGTTTTCAAACTGTCTAGGCCGTTTCAAACTGCCTAGGCCGTTTTCATACGGCCTGATATTTCAGGCGGTTTGCAAACGGCCGGCTTTTTCAGGCCGTTTTCAAACGGCCTGGCTGGGCCAGGCCGTTTGCAAACGGACTGGGTTTTCATACGGTCTGTAACATATATACTTTTTTGCATCGTGGTCTGCCTCTTCGCTAAACAATTGCTTATAACTAAGCCTATAGTGGGCGACAGCGCGTTGTCATGAATATGATGAAGCGGCCATTCCCCAACCATGCAACTCTCAACTCTAAGCAAATCAGCTGAATCGACTTTGTGCAAACTTATTCACCAATCATGCTGAGCTCCTCTATTGTCACTCCGATGCTTACGCTAGATCATTCCCAAACAGCTGCCTCACCCGTCCAGTGTTTTCATTCGTTTACGACATGGAAGTCCCATGGACTACAGACATGTGGAATAGCTAACATGTAGACATATGGGCATGGACTGTAGGCAGGTGGGCGTTCAATGTCTCAAAGCCTCCGACGTTAGGCAGCATTAACTTTATTTATCATTGTAAGATGCCCATTGTCAAAACGGGGGGCGAGTGCTGATGGTTCTAGCTCTAGCATAGTTTGACGCTTTGCGGTGCAGCATGCATGCAGGGGTTTGACACTAGTGCCATCTATGGAGAAAAATGGTAATTTGTGTACGCATTGCCGTGCGGTATGCCTTATGACCTAGGCGTCGAATGGGATAGACGAAACACGGTGTTGGAACGTTAATCGGCATTGTACTCCATATTTAACTAAGTTCAGCAGGCTTTTCCGGATTTTTATATATGGTGATAGGCCTATGTGTGGTGTTAGCCGTAAGTAGGTACTTACCTACAGAGCAATGTCCAACTCCAGTACATACAGGGTGGGGCAGCATAATCGGGAATAAATATCAAACGGGATTATTTGGTCATGAATTTAAAAATATAGCTCCAAGCACTATTTTAACAACATCCCATCAATCGGTCACCTTTTACCTATCCCTCATCCTATTTGACCGCCCTTCGCGTCGATGACCTTCTCAAGGCGGGTCCAAAAGCACGCGCATGCACGTGCAGCCTCCTGCTTGTCCATGATCGCCCATCAGCTTCGTACCTTGCACTGAAGACCGTTTTTACTGATGATAAGTTGTTCATTAAACTTCTACCAAAAAACGCTCCATATAAAGAATTTGGTCGGATTTAAATCGGCGGAGTTGAAGGACCAGAAGTTTTTGGTTCATCTCAGGTGGAGGTGCCCTACACAATAACATGTCGTCCTCACTGCAGTACCAGCACGGACAGAGTCCTCGTAAGACGTGATCTGGACCGTCAGTGATCCTCTCTTCCGACGACTCCACGTGAGTCTGCCAGAGTGTGGATGTATTTACCAGAGGTGCTCGTTTTATCCGGGCTCGATGAAGTAGGGTGCACCACGTGCACCTCCCTTGAAGACCACCCATAGGTCCATCACCTCAACAGGATGTTTACTTTGCATGACCGCTGCAATATTCTCGATACAATCCCCTATATGGCATGCCATTCTTTTTTATCGTATTCCAGTCGGTGATAAGATTTTTGGTCGCTGAAGTTTTGAACATTGTTTCTTTTTAATATGCTCAAGAGCTTCTTCCTTATATTCAAGTGAGTCATCTTGTATGTCCTCTGCTAAGAGTTATTTTACGACGATTACGTTAACTTTTTGTCCTAAGTATCCCCACACAATCCTTATCGTCCGTGATAACACGTTGACCTGTCCAGCAACCTTTACGTGGAATGGCATTGTTTTAAACAAAATGTTCTTGTTTTACTCGTTTAACATTAGTGTCTATGGGCGCGCGCAAAGCACTTGGAGCACCGTCGAACTATTTTGCTGCTCTTTTCCAGGAAGTTGCATGCTCATGGATGTAGTCATGTCAGATGATGCACAACTTTTGGGCGTTTCATTGCCATGATATAATTTATCAAAATAATGCCATGCCTACTCATGACCAGAGCCCAAAAAGCATT